TGTTTCTGATGTTCAGTATGCTCCTGATGTTCAGTATGCTCCTGATGTTCAGTGTGCTCCTGATGTTCAGTATGCTCCTGATGTTCAGTATGTTTCTGATGTTCAGTGTGCTCCTGATGTTCAGTATGCTCCTGATGTTCAGTATGTTCCTGATGTTCAGTGTGCTCCTGATGTTCAGAATGCTCCTGATGTTCAGTATGTTTCTGATGTTCAGTATGCTCCTGATGTTCAGTATGCTCCTGATGTTCAGTATGTTTCTGATGTTCAGTATGCTCCTGATGTTCAGTATGTTTCTGATGTTCAGTATGCACCTGATGTTCAGTATGCTCCTGATGTTCAGTGTGTTTCTGATGTTCAGTATGCACCTGATGTTCAGTATGCTCCTGATGTTCAGTATGTTTCTGATGTTCAGTATGCTCCTGATGTTCAGTATGCTCCTGATGTTCAGTATGTTTCTGATGTTCAGTATGCTCCTGATGTTCAGTATGCTCCTGATGTTCAGTATGTTTCTGATGTTCAGTATGCACCTGATGTTCAGTATGCTCCTGATGTTCAGTATGTTTCTGATGTTCAGTATGCTCCTGATGTTCAGTTTGCTCCTGATGTTCAGTATGCACCTGATGTTCAGTATGCTCCTGATGTTCAGTATGCTCCTGATGTTCAGTATGCTCCTGATGTTCAGTATGCTCCTGATGTTCAGTATGCACCTGATGTTCAGTATGCTCCTGATGTTCAGTATGCTCCTGATGTTCAGTATGCTCCTGATGTTCAGTATGTTTCTGATGTTCAGTATGCTCCTGATGTTCAGTATGTTTCTGATGTTCAGTATGCACCTGATGTTCAGTATGCTCCTGATGTTCAGTGTGTTTCTGATGTTCAGTATGCACCTGATGTTCAGTATGCTCCTGATGTTCAGTATGCTCCTGATGTTCAGTATGTTTCTGATGTTCAGTATGCTCCTGATGTTCAGTATGCTCCTGATGTTCAGTATGTTTCTGATGTTCAGTATGCTCCTGATGTTCAGTATGCTCCTGATGTTCAGTATGCTCCTGATGTTCAGTATGTTTCTGATGTTCAGTATGCTCCTGATGTTCAGTATGCTCCTGATGTTCAGTATGTTTCTGATGTTCAGTATGCTCCTGATGTTCAGTATGCTCCTGATGTTCAGTATGTTTCTGATGTTCAGTATGCACCTGATGTTCAGTATGCTCCTGATGTTCAGTATGTTTCTGATGTTCAGTATGCTCCTGATGTTCAGTTTGCTCCTGATGTTCAGTATGCACCTGATGTTCAGTATGCTCCTGATGTTCAGTATGCTCCTGATGTTCAGTATGCTCATGCTCCTGATGTTCAGTGTGCTCCTGATGTTCAGTATGTTCCTGATGTTCAGTGTGCTCCTGATGTTCAGTATGCTCCTGATGTTCAGTATGCTTCTGATGTTCAGTATGCTCCTGATGTTCAGTATGCTCCTGATGTTCAGTATGCTCCTGATGTTCAGTATGCTCCTGATGTTCAGTATGCTCCTGATGATCAGTATGCTCCTGATGTTCAGTATGCTCCTGATGTTCAGTATGCTCCTGATGTTCAGTATGTTTCTGATGTTCAGTATGCTCCTGATGTTCAGTATGCTCCTGATGTTCAGTATGCTCCTGATGTTCAGTGTGCTCCTGATGTTCAGTATGCTCCTGATATTCAGTGTGCTCCTGATGTTCAGTATGTTTCTGATGTTCAGTATGCTCCTGATGTTCAGTATGTTTCTGATGTTCAGTGTGCTCCTGATGTTCAGTGTGCTCCTGATGTTCAGTATGCTCCTGATGTTCAGTATGTTTCTGATGTTCAGTATGCTCCTGACTTTTAGTATGCTCCTGATGTTCAGTATGTTTCTGATGTTCAGTATGCTCCTGACTTTTAGTGTGCTCCTGATGTTCAGTATGCTCCTGATGTTCAGTATGCTCCTGATGTTCAGTATGTTTCTGATGTTCAGTATGCTCCTGATGTTCAGTATGCTCCTGATGTTCAGTATGGTCCTGATGTTCAGTGTGCTCCTGATGTTCAGAATGCTCCTGATATTCAGTGTGCTCCTGATGTTCAGTATGGTCCTGATGTTCAGTGTGCTCCTGATGTTCAGTATGCTCCTGATATTCAGTGTGCTCCTGATGTTCAGTATGTTTCTGATGTTCAGTATGCTCCTGACTTTTAGTATGCTCCCGATGTTCAGTATGCTCCTGATGTTCAGTATACTTCAGTATGCTCCTGACGTTCAGTATACTTCGCTTCTGATGTTTAATATGCACCTGATGTTCAGTATGCACCTGATGTTCAGTATGCCAAAAGTAGGCCAACAGAATATGTCCAAATACATGGTATTCAATAAAAAAGTTGGTGAAAAGTATCTACTACTTCTCTCGAGATTTTAAAGGGTGTATTCGATGGACACTTTACTGTCCCATGAGACCACAGGAGAGGTTTTATGAATGGCAGTGAAGTGATACTGGTAGGTCACGTGAGAGTAACAACATGGTGGATGCAGTACGTCCAAATTTCATTCATACTACCATATTCATACTATATAGAACATACTTTTTTAACAGTCACAAAGTCAATTCAAATGTGGTACTCAATATGCGTTTCAGTCTCTCTAAACTCCTCCTTTTCGCAAGCCTACTCTGCTCTGATTGGCCAGACGGCCCAGTCTGGTGTTTTTGGTCTATTGCTTACAGCATGTGTCGAAAATGAGCCGCCAATTACCATATCTGAATTTCAGCTCCAGAGGGTTCCTCCACGTTGGTTATTTTGTATCAATTCCAGCGTGAGTCCGCATCCTTGTGAAAACAGCATCTGCTCGACGTGTCAACAACACAAACCAAGGCACAACTACAGTGTTGAAGGCAGGTCGAATTAGACGTTGTTCACGGGCAACCAATGAAGAAAATAGGCTTGCATTATGTAAATGTGTTATACACTCACCTAAAGGATTATTAGGAACACCTGTTCAATTTCTCATTAATGCAATTATCTAATCAACCAATCACATGGCAGTTGCTTCAATGCATTTAGGGGTGTGGTCCTGGTCAAGACAATCTCCTGAACTCCAAACTGAATGTCAGAATGGGAAAGAAAGGTGATTTAAGCAATTTTGAGCGTGGCATGGTTGTTGGTGCCAGACGGGCCGGTCTGAGTATTTCACAATCTGCTCAGTTACTGGGATTTTCACACACAACCATTTCTAGGGTTTACAAAGAATGGTGTGAAAAGGGAAAAACATCCAGTATGCGGCAGTCCTGTGGGCGAAAATGCCTTGTTAATGCTAGAGGTCAGAGGAGAATGGGCCGACTGATTCAAGCTGATAGAAGAGCAACTTTGACTGAAATAACCACTCGTTACAACCGAGGTATACAGCAAAGCATTTGTGAAGCCACAACACGCACAACCTTGAGGCGGATGGGCTACAACAGCAGAAGACCCCACCGGGTACCACTCATCTCCACTACAAATAGGAAAAAGAGGCTACAATTTGCAAGAGCTCACCAAAATTGGACAGTTGAAGACTGGAAAAATGTTGCCTGGTCTGATGAGTCTCGATTTCTGTTGAGACATTCAGATGGTAGAGTCAGAATTTGGCGTAAACAGAATGAGAACATGGATCCATCATGCCTTGTTACCACTGTGCAGGCTGGTGGTGGTGGTGTAATGGTGTGGAGGATGTTTTCTTGGCACACTTTAGGCCCCTTAGTGCCAATTGGGCATCGTTTAAATGCCACGGCCTACCTGAGCATTGTTTCTGACCATGTCCATCCCTTTATGGCCACCATGTGCCCATCCTCTGATGGCTACTTCCAGCAGGATAATGCACCATGTCACAAAGCTCGAATCATTTCAAATTGGTTTCTTGAACATGACAATGAGTTCACTGTACTAAAATGGCCCCCACAGTCACCAGATCTCAACCCAATAGAGCATCTTTGGGATGTGGTGGAACGGGAGCTTCGTGCCCTGGATGTGCATCCGACAAATCTCTATCAACTGCAAGATGCTATCCAATCAATATGGGCCAACATTTCTAAAGAATGCTTTCAGCACCTTGTTGAATCAATGCCACATAGAATTAAGGCAGTTCTGAAGGCGAAAGGGGGTCAAACACAGTATTAGTATGGTGTTCCTAATAATCCTTTAGGTGTGTGTATGTAACAAGAAGTTTGGCTGGAATTGCTGTCAACTCATTTCGGCAGTTCAGAATCGATTCTTTCCTTTAGGAAATAATTACTTTATTTGTCGTGCACTTTGATCTTTAATACTTTGCAGACCTTTTAGATTTACAAACAACTGGCTATATTACATACTGCACGAACGTTTATATTTGAAAAAGCATAATAGGGGCACTTTAATATCTCATGCAATTAAAAAAAATCATAACCAACAACTGACAATCAACAAATAACAAATAAAATTGCTGGCACACGACTAAACCCTTACCAAAACCGTTTTTCTTTTAGACTGAGGTAAAAGTGCATTGATATTTGCGTAGGCAACTGGCAAGCTCTGTTTATTTGTTTATCATGCAGGTACATTGATAAAACAGTTTACCTTCATTCATTTTCCATGGTGTTTATGCTTTACTATTTGTGCTATGAAGGCCACAGCCATCGGTATAAGTGCTAAACATTGAATTATTCCTAAATAGGCTACTTTTGAATTAATCTGTTTATTATCAGATCTGTGAATGTCTAATTAGTTTTATGATTAAATATTTTAAATGAAAACAGACAAACTTCTTACATTAGTGAGTTATTATGTCAACTGTGTTTACTGAAGCATATAAAAGCAGTGGTATAGGCCTTCCACTAAGACCATGAAATGTTCAGGAGAGTAGCCTAGCCGCTAGCCTACAAACTTCGGTGAACTTGACCTAGTTTACACTCCTCAGAGGAACTCTGCAGCTGTTACATAATGATTCAGAAACGCAACTATGGTGACGGAGTGTGTATGAGATACCGTATGTAGCGTGTGTGTGTGTGTGTGTGTGTGTGTGGCAGCACAGTTATGTCATTGACATTGAGCGCTCGGCTTCAGCTCGGCATGTTGTCTTTTTTCTGGAGAAACGGAGTGGAGACACCGGGACCGCTAAAAGCAGACGTGTCAGGTAACGTTTCATGCAGGGGAGATTTTCATGTAAGGAACACAGTTGTGACCATACTGTCTATGGTTGTGACGAGCTATATCCTCAAGACCAGATGTTAAAGGAATAGTTCACTTCAAAATGAAAATTCTGTCATCATTTAGGCTACTACTCACCCGTTTTAAACCTGTGTGAATTTCTTTCTTCTGCTTAAAACAATTTTGAAGAATGTCGGTAACCAGACAGTTGATGGCTCTATACCCAATGACTTCCATAGTAGGAAAAATAAAATAGCCTACCATGGCCATAATTAAACAAACAACTCCAGCATTTTGCAAACAAACTCGATCTGCTTTGCAAAGGAAAACTCGACTCGCAAACAAACAGAAAGCAATGTGCAAATACAAATGTCAATTTGAGCGAAAATGCAGTGGAGTAGCAAATATTGTGTTTTACAAATATAAATAAATGAGCCTAGATAATATTTCACAAATAAATACAAACCATCCTACAAATTGCATGTAACCTTTGAACAAATACTAAATCTAGTGCATACAAATGCATATCTTTCTGTTATGATTGTGGCTTTTTATGAGATCTCTCGGCTCGATTTTCGGCGCTAAACAGGGGATGAATTTAGCGCTATTGTCCCGGCCGGGAGAAGCACTGATTTGAAACGCGTGCTTTCCTTTGCCTACAGCTTAGGAAAATGACCGATAAATATGAAAATCCCATTCATTTTTGAGATAGCCTAACCCCAAAATTATTGCCGGCATATTGAGACTCACCATAATCAGCATACAAAATTACTTGGACAAACAACCATATTACTTGGGACTAATAGTTAATCATCCACCCAAATATTGTAATTTTGCACATTTTTGCTCCCTGAATTGACATACTTCTCATAGATTTGCTGAAAGCCGCATTACACTATAACCTCATGGCCTGTCCAGTTCACACACTGTGTCTGCTTTATTTAGGCTCCATCCCAGCATGGCTTCAGGGGACACTTTTGCGCAATGGTCCTGGTCTGTTCTCAGTTGGTAACACTTCATACAAGCACTGGTTTGATGGAATGGCACTCATTCACAGTTTCACCTTTAAAGATGGTACGTCGGGTGCATGGGCAAGAACCTTTTAAATGACATTTATGGAAAGTACTATGAACATTGTTGCAAAAATACTCATATAGTCATTTTACTATATCTAGGAAAGTGTTAACAGAGGATTGGATGAGCCATAAACAATTAAATTGTCATTTTTCAGGGGATGTATTTTACAGGAGTAAATTCTTGGAGAGTGAAACATTCAAAAAGAACATCGCTGCCAATAGGATCGTTGTGTCTGAATTCGGGACCATGGTGTACCCAGATCCCTGCAAGAATATATTCTCTAAGTAAAAAGATAATTCTTTCTGGACTTTTTCCAATTTTCTATTAAATCCAATCAAAATGACCTGGATAATTGCTTTGCGTTGCTTTGTAGAGCCTTCAGTTACCTGGTGAACGCCATTCCAGATTTCACAGATAATAATCTCATTAACATCATAAGATATGGTGAAGATTATTACGCATCATCAGAAGTGAACTACATTAACAAAATTGACCCACTGACACTCAACACATTAGGAAGAGTGAGTCCAAATGTATTCATTATTTCAGTTTGTTCTGCATCTCAAGATATTTTTTCAATCAATTTGCTGTTGATAAATTGCCCTTTATTATCTTTTCAGACGAACTACAGAAACCATATCGCCATCAACTTGGCAACCGCACACCCTCACTATGATGATGAAGGGAACACGTACAACATGGGCACTGCCATTATGAACTTTGGCCGACCGAAATATGTTATTTTCAAGGTGCCCGCCAATGCCTCAGGTAACCAGAGAAATAGCATTCCTTAGACCATGTTAATCTCTTAAAGGGATACTCCACTTTTTTTTGGAAATAGGCTCATTTTACAACTCCCCCAGAGTTAAACTGTTGAGTTTTACCGCCAGAACCGGAGATTCAAAAACGGTAAAACTCAACAGTTTAACGCTGGGGGAGTTGTAAAATGAGCCTATTTCCAAAAAAAGTGGAGTATCCCTTTAAGACCCATTCACACCAAGAACGATAACTATAAAGACAACTATAACGATAACTATATTAGCGTCCCCACCGACGCTCAACATTGTTTCGTTCATTCTTATTATTTAGTTTATTCTATTTTGTCGTCTGCCGCTTTAAATGCTCGAGCTCTTCAAAACAGGGTGGATTCTGATTGGCTGTTAATCATTCATCAGCTGGAAAAAAATCAATCTGAAAGTAATTCCAATGATATTGTTTATCTGTGCTGTTATCGTTATAATTGTAGTGTGGACTCTGCTATTCTTACATTTAGATTTTTTTTAAACTATATCGGTATCATTATAGTTATCATCCTAATTTTTTTTTAAATGGTACCAAACTTAGTGACTTTTGTCATACTTTCTATATGAACACACAAAAAAATTGTAGACATGATTAGAAAAGACTAAATGGTAATAAAAATTGTCAACCGGCAAAAAAATATGAAACAGTTCTGCGGCAATTTCTATATGTAAAGTATTTTTGGCTGTGTGGGTTCAATTCATAAATAAAAAGAGGAATCAGGACACCAAACAAACTCAAAGTCCATTGAAAAAGTGCTGAAGATAGTCCAAGATGGACTGAAACGTTTGCTCTTTGTTTTCTTTTTCTTTTTTGTGCACAGTCACATATTTGTTACTCCACCTTGGTATTTTGTTAACACCTTATATGAGAATCTTCAGTACAGTATTTTTCAGTGGACCTTGAACTTTGAGCTTGTTTGGTGTGCGGATTCTTCTTTTTGTTTTTCATTAAAAAAATAGTCACACTTGTGATCGTCACGGTCAAAATACAAGGAAATACAAAAAATACACAGCAATTTTTTGGGGTACAACATACAAATCAGCCACGATAAAGCAGTCTTCGATAATTTCTAAATATATCCAAATGCATAACCTAATAAAAAATGTATATATATGTCACAATATTTGGCTGTAGTAATGAGCGCACGATTAATGGAGTACCGGTACAAATACTCTTCAATCCAGATACCACTAGGAGAATACAGGAGGACAGAATAACTCAACCGCATGCATGAAACACAAAGGATACAGGACAATAGAGGGCTTAAATACAGAGTAATCAGATTAGAGTAATCAATGGAAAACAGAACAGATGAGTGGAACTAATTAACAACCAAGGAAACTAACTAAGCAACACAGGAAAACTCTGGTAGATGGGAACAGGGATAACAGAACCTGTATTAATTGAAAATAATATGAAATAGTTTTTTTAATATTTGTATTATTTTATATAGAAAAAAAAATGTAGAGGTAAATATTGTCTATGAAATCCACTCAAAATACAAAATATTCAAGAATAATTATTATAGAAACAAAATGAAGTACATTCATTTAATTAACTAGCCTGGCTCCGCCTTCCTACGTACTTCCGCTCAATTTTCATTTTCCTTCAGTAACACGTCTGGGATTGTGGAGTATTCTTTGGTTTTCTCCGGTCAATTTTTTACCGGTCCAATCAGTGAACAGAGGGAGTGTCTGAGAACGATGACGTTGAGGTGCGCTAGTTTGAGTCGTCATACGTCATGACCAAACGTCAGCGATTGGTTATGGCAGATCCAGAGTGGCTCTGGGCAGATCCAATAGTTTTAAACTTCAACAGAGTTACCCGCCTTTAAGGAAGTTAACGCTTGTCAATGGAGCGAGGCCAGACTCTCTGTACAAATGAAATGTATGAGAGTCTGGTGGGACCAGGCTATTAATTAACAAAAAATTGTACACTTATTATCTTCAGTCTGTTTCAATAGCCAAGAATCACAAGTGTGACCCCTAAAAGCGAGGAATACTATAGATGGGCCAGCCATATCTCATAAAGAACACCTACACAGTGTATACAATTCTTATTGCAGATAAAGGGAAGAATAAGCCAGCCCTGAGGAAGGTGGAACAAGTTTGCTCCATTCCTTTCCGCTCCTCGTTGTACCCAAGCTACTTCCACAGCTTTGGCATGACGGAGAACTACATTATCTTTGTGGAGCAGGCCTTCAAGCTGGATATCCTCAAACTGGCCACCGCTTACTTCAGAGATGTCAACTGGGGCAGTTGCCTGAAATTCGACAAAGATGACATTGTGAGCAAAACTTCTGCTTTGTTTTTTTTGTCTATTTTTCCATCTTAAATAGTACTTTATCCATTTGTTTAAATGCTTCAGTAACTGTTCTAACAACTGGTTTTGATCACCACATAGACACTGATCCATCTGATCAATAGGAAGACTGGGAAACCTGTGAGCACAAAGTACTACGCAGACCCATTTGTGGTCTTCCATCACATCAATGCTTATGAGGAAGATGGCCATGTCGTCTTTGACTTGATTACATACCAGGACAGCAATCTGTACGATATGTTCTATATACACAACATGAAGCAAGGTGTTGCAGAGTTTATAGAGACCAACAAGGATTTCGCTCGACCGACAGGCCAGCGGATTGTCCTTCCTCTCAACATAGACAAGGTAAAATAGGAAATATAAAGTAAAAAGGATTGAATTACATAAGGCATAATATGGATGAGTTGTAGCAAGAAAACTCTTCAGCATTTTCTGTGAATAATTATGAATTTTATCAAATTGAATCAAAATTTGACCAAATTTCAGATTCCAGATGCACTTAGATTTGATCAAAGTGCCTTTAAAGGGATAGTTCACTCAAAAATTAAAATCAGCCCATGATTTACTCACCCTTAAGCCATTATTCACTCACCCTGAGTCAAAAAATATCATTGGGTCTTCCAAGCTTTATAATGAGAGTGAATGGGTTTTTTTTTTTTGGAAGTCCATTAAAGCGCATCCATCCATGATAAAACTGCTCCACACGGCTCTGGCGGGATAATAAAGGCCTCCTGAATTGAAGCGATGCGTTCGTGTAAGAAAAATATCCATATTTAAAACTTTATCGACTAAAATAACTAGCTTCCGGCCGAACGCATCGATTTACGGTGAAAGAGTAACATTATAAAGCGTGGAAGAGCCAGGACATTTTTTTTATATAACTCCGATTGTATTCGTCTGAAAGAAGAATGTCATATACACATAGGATGGCTTCAGGGTGAGTAAATCATGGGCTAATTTTTTTTTTTTTTTTTTGGGTGAACTATCCCTTTAAAGGTGCCTTGTGTAAAAAAAATCAATTCAAAATCCACATGTTCCATACCAGATGGGGGCAGTATACCTCCAGAAAGTTGGCCTACTGTAGTCTGTTTTTTAGTTTCGGGTTGTTAATCCTCTAAAACCGTCAAATCGTCCGCTTTGTCCCGCCAAAGCCTATTTTGATCGGTGAGTGATGTAGAATAGAATGACTGCTGCGTTTGACAGGGCGCATAACGAGCAGAGGGAGAGAGAGAGCGCCCCGGCCGCGCGCGCGCACTCTCACGTCTTCAAACAACACGAGCGCTGTCCTCCTGCTCTCTCTCTCCCTCGCGCATATTAATCAAATCAATTGACACGATCGTAAGACCGCAGTTCATTTGGAGATTTTTTAGAGATTAGAGAATCAATGAACAACATCTCAACACTAAATTATAAAGGCCGGTCTCATATAGACGCGATTGACATCAGGTTCAAGTACGCCCACAAGCCGTGCGAGTTATTCGTGTATTGGAGTTTGGCTGGTGGTTATGTATGTTGCCCGCATACCGCCTCCCATGGCCGAAACTGGTATTATGACACCGGCCGGGCCGGGGCTAGTAATTTAGCATGCTAATTCAGGTTTATATCTCGGCAGCACTATAACTTGTCATTTTTTTAATGACATCATTGCATTTATTTCTTCTCATTCTTTTGATACGTGTAGCTCATTTGTTGGATATTTTTACCTCAATTTTTACAAATGGCACCTTTAAGGCAAGTCATTTCACTCGGCGGCCATCTTTGAAACAACAGTCGTGCCAGTACAGCTCCTATCTCTTTGAATGGGGAAACATGAAATTCTCCAAAGCTGTTCACCAAGATTACGATTAAATTTCATGTTTGAAATTACCAATGAAATCTTACGACAACTGTCTCATCAATTTTGTTTCTAAATCCTCAAATCATGATGAAAAACAGCATTTTTCAGGCTGGACCAGCCACTGCGCATGTGCAGTCATAAGAGCTCGTCTCAGAACACTGATTGTTTTTAAACCAGCCGGCAGCTGCAGTGACACGATGACTTTACCAATTGGTGATTGGCTCTTTTATTTAGAAGACGGGACTCATTCCACCATATTGCGCGTTGCACTTTCTCCCATTCATAGTGATATGAGTGCACCGTCTTTGCATACCTAAAGTCTTTGATTTGATTATATTTGTCTTAATACAACAAACCTTTTTTCTTACGATATCAGGAAACTCCACCAGGCACCAACCTGGTCGCGGTGCGGGACACAACAGCCACAGCAGTGCTGCAGGAGGACGGCTCACTCCACTGCACCCCTGACACTATTTTTGAAGGTGATTCCTAAATTTAGAACTTGATCATTCTGCGTTCATTTTTTTTTCCCTCTCATGTTGACTTGCTGTGTGTGGCTTGTATGGTCACAGGTCTAGAATTACCTGGTATCAACTACAAATTCAACAGTAAGAAGTACAGATACTTCTATGGCACCAGGGTGGATTGGTCACCCTATCCAAGCAAGGTATATATTTTTAGCATTCTGGACATTTGCATTTATTTGAACCTTGTTTGCCAGTTGAGCTATAAGACTGCAAAAAATGCAATGATTTATCAATAGTGTCTCTTGTTGTATAGATCGCAAAAGTGGACACAGTTACCAGGACACATAAAGTGTGGACAGAGGAGGAATGTTACCCATCTGAGCCAGTGTTTGTGGCATCTCCGAATGCTGTTGAAGAAGATGATGGTGAGTATTTAATGGAAATATTGGACATTTTTGCAAAATATGAAGAATGTTTCTGCGTAATGCAGGCTGAAAGAATAAAAGATTTGAAAACAGTTAACTAGTTCAGTCATGAAACTTTAGATGGCTCAAATCCTTCACATGCAATCTGCTAGCAATCGCATCATTAGCACATGGCAAAAGCTGATTCTGCAGCCAATTATATTTCTTGCTCAACATTTTAATATTCTGGTTCCGTGTTTGCTGTAGGGTAGGGTAGTTCCTCTAAAACCCTCCACCTTCCCCGGATCCACCTGCCTAGATCTACTATGGGATTTATGTACACTCACCTAAAGGATTATTAGGAACACCTGTTGAATTTCTCATTAATGCAATTATCTAATCAACCAATCACATGGCAGTTGCTTCAATGCATTTAGGGGTGTGGTCCTGGTCAAGACAATCTCCTGAACTCCAAACTGAATGTCAGAATGGGAAAGAAAGGTGATTTAAGCAATATTGAGCATGGCATGGTTGTTGGTGCCAGACGGGCCGGTCTGAGTATTTCACAATCTGCTCAGTTACTGGGATTTTCACGCACAACCATTTCTAGGGTTTACAAAGAATGGTGTGAAAAGGGAAAAACATCCATTATGCGGCAGTCCTGTGGGCGAAAATGCCTTGTTGATGCTAGAGGTCAGAGGAGAATGGGCCGACTGATTCAAGCTGATAGAAGAGCAGCTTTGACTGAAATACCCACTTGTTACAACCGAGGTATGCAGCCAAGCATTTGTGAAGCCACAACACGCACAACCTTGAGGCGGATGGGCTACAACTGCAGAAGACCCCACCGGGTACCACTCATCTCCACTACAAATAGGAAAAAGAGGCTACAATTTGCAAGAGCTCATCAAAATTGGACAGTTGAAGACTGGAAAAATGTTGCCTGGTCTGATGAGTCTCGATTTCTGTTGAGACATTCAGACGGTAGAGTCAGAATTTGGCGTAAACAGAATGAAAATATGGATCCATCATGCCTTGTTACCACTGTGCAGGCTGGTGGTGGTGGTGTAATGGTGTGGGGGATGTTTTCTTGGCACACTTTAGGCCCCTTAGTGCCAATTGGGCATCGTTTAAATGCCACAGCCTACCTGAGCATTGTTTCTGACCATGTCCATCCCTTTATGGCCACCATGTACCCATCCTCTGATGGCTACTTCCAGCAGGATAATGCACCATGTCACAAAGCTCGAATCATTTCAAATTGGTTTCTTGAACATGACAATGAGTTCACTGTACTAAAATGGCCCCCACAGTCACCAGATCTCAACCCAATAGAGCATCTTTGGGATGTGGTGGAACGGGAGCTTCGTGCCCTGGATGTGCATCCCACAAATCTCCATCAACTGCAAGATGCTATCCAATCAATATGGGCCAACATTTCTAAAGAATGCTTTCAGCACCTTGTTGAATCAATGCCACGTAGAATTAAGGCAGTTCTGAAGGCGAAAGGTTGTCAAACACAGTATTAGTATGGTGTTCCTAATAATACTTTAGGTGAGTTTATGTCTATTTATGCAGCAGCATCATAGCTTACATGCTCTCAGCAGTGTGTATGTGTATCTATTAGCAGTAGCAAGTCCATTCTTGCTCTGAATCAGCAGCAGTGTAGCAGAATTAATCCACCAAGACCAAATACATTATCATGCTAAAAAGTATTCAGTGTTGTCATGACTGAACTCTATTTAATCAATTGCAAGTTGATTCTTCTGTGTTAAAATTCTGTGGCACATGAAGATGAGTGTCACAAACTCCTCCGAGACTTGAGTTGAAGATCCAAATGCAGCTTTATTGGGACAATCCAGAATTGTAATCCATATAACAGGCATAAGGGCAAAACGATAAAGCAAGCAATCCAAACTTACGATTGAGTCCAAAAAACACAGGCAAACAATGATATCCAGGACAATGACAGAAGGGAAAGGAAAGGAAAGGAAAGGAAAGGAAAGGAAAGGAAAGGAAAGGAAAGGAAAGGAAAGGAAAGGAAAGGAAAGGAAAGGAAAGGAAAGGAAAGAAGCACTCAGAATTAGCCTGGATGCCAGCCCGAACCCCGCCCACAACATTTTTTGGTCGGGAAGTTCGGTCTGGACTCGATCCATTGAGGAATAATTATGATCGGTTCAGAATTAGTCGGGCCAATCAAATTGCCCGGGCGGGCTTTATACGATGATGGACAGATGATCTGCAGTTACGTAATCATCACGTTATCAAAGAGCGCTTGGGTTGAACTGGTTTCCCTCAGAGATCACTGCAGCTGGAGAATTGAGATGTATAGATTCAGCATCGCGTCTGTTGTAAAAGAAATCGACAGCGCATTCATTTTAAAAGACGAACAGAGAACTGCAATCAAGGCATTTGTCGATCGGAAAGATGTGTTTGCCGTCTATCCTACGGGATTCGGCAAAAGTTTAATTTATCAGCCCTCTCCGATGGTCGCTAAGAAGATGGGACTCAATGAAAGCGCTGTGGTCGTTGTGGTTTCTCCTTTGGTCGCACTCATGGAGGACCAAATAAAAGAAGCAACACTCATTATTTTACTACTTCTTCCAGCATGCGTGTAGTTGAGTTCTGTTGCTATGCGTAGCTCAACATACGTCACTTACTGCGTTGCTCTGATTGGTTGTAGGTCTATCCAATTTAGTGCAGAGGGTTTTTTTTTCTGGTTCGGTTAAGACACGCCTCATAATCAAAGCCCTATGGAGCAGTATCAGACTCACATTCTGACTAGAATATATGAGTATGACGAAGTCAGGCTAACTCAGAATAGCAGTGTTACACAAAACAAGACTATGCAAAGTGAGAATGAAAACACAGGGCTTAAATAGGCATATTTTAACAAGGGCAATCACACTCGGATACTGGGAAATGAAGTCCATAATGGAAAGGCCCATGAGTCAGGAGGAGTGCCCTCTGGTGGAGATTACGGGCACTCCAGCTGACGGATGTGACAGTGAGCAACTCTCCGTATAGAAGAAAGAATTTGTAATTATGCTGTCTTGACAAAACATATACAGTAAGTGACTTTTCCTCATTTTCAGGCATTATCCTGTCTTCTGTGGTTTCGTTCAATCCCCAAAAGCCACCTTTCCTAGTGGTCCTGGACGCTAAATCCTTTAAAGAGATCGCTCGCGCTACCATTGATGCTGCTATTCACATGGACCTGCATGGGCTTTTCATCCATGAGAAGTCTACCTAAAATGGACATCAAAATGATGCACCAACCCATTGTGCAGGGTTTAAAGAACAATTCTTATTTGTTTATAAGTGTACATTTATATATATACGAAATATAAGAAGAGAAACAAGATCTAAAAAGAGAAATGAATATATTAATTTTTTTTCGTTATTGTAAATTGTTTTATATTTTTACAGACATTCTGTAAAACAGCCTATTGTTACATTGTAACATGATTATATAAAATGATCTCTCCTTAATTGTTTGTGACAATTGAGTGGATTTTAAATTGTAAATCCTGTAATTTATTATTCCTAATCTAGCCCTTTAATGAACCTGGCCACGAATGTATTTTTACAGCGGCACTAATATGTTTCTCATTTGTAAGTCGCGTTTGGATAAAAGCATCTGCTAAATGAATGATCATTTTTATAGACATTCTGTCTATAAAACAGGCTATTGTGAGGCATGAAATTTAAATGAATAAGATTATCTGTTCATTGTGCTTAAAGCTGTAAAACACTCTTTTACTGTAATTCTGTGTATTGTGGTGCCATTAAAAAGAAAGATTTCTTTAGTATGGACTGTTGTTCATTGCATCCTTTGAATTGCTTTCATGTTCATGTTTCACGTATACGGTATTAGTGTCTTTATGCATTCTAATGAATGTGTGCCTAATAACTTATCTAATTTACCGAATACAGATCCTGCATTTAAACTCGTTCTCTCTAATATATATATTTTTTCAACAACAACATAATTTCAAAAAAGTTGTGTTAAAATAAAAACATCAATTATATATTTAGCTTCTACCTATATACTAAAAAAAATCACCAAAACTACAAATCTTTCTTTTTAAATTTGCTAATATAATATTCACAGTTAATTTATTCATTCAAAATAAACATAAAAACATGACGTTTTATGTATATTTCAACGACATTAGGACATTTTTCTTGTTTATAAAAAAATATGTAAACAAAGTTTAAGTCCCCGTGAACCGGAAGTTGCAAACGACTTTTCTCCAGTGTTGTGACGTATTTACGAGAGAAACGGAATACTAAAAGAGGCAAAATAGTGGGCGTGGCTTTTTTTCCAACTAGCACCTGATTGGAACTAGAAAAGTAGGTGTTTTCATTCAGCCTGTCTACTGTCAGTTGGAGGGGCGTGGTTACGGATGTTAAGCAGACACCCAAACCGTCAAACCTACGTCATCAGGGAAGGTCCTCCAATGCAGGGGGGAGGGGAAATTTCTGATTTTGATTAAAGATTACGAAGCCAAAAATTTTTTTTGTGTGGATTGACTTGCATGGATGAATTGTTTACCACAAAACGGCCAATTTAGGCAAACAAAGTAAGTATGGTCAATTTTGAATTCATGGGGACTTTAAATGCAGTAAATGAATGTTTTATATAGTTTGTACAATAATATCACATATTGTGGAATTTGGTAGTCTTTACAGAACAAGCTTAATTCACCATATTTCACATTCGGACTCTCAAACTGCCAGAAAGCATTTAGAAATTGCCTATATTTTTAGTCTGTTACTTGTTTCTAAAGACAACACTGCCACCAAGTGACCAATCATGAGTGTGATTATGGTTGAGTATATGTCATCAACAATGCAAGACTCTATAAATCTACTGTCCATGTGGAGGTCCATCCATACCTTCTTGTTTATAGGTGCTAATGTTTACAATAGATTCATATTCACCCTTCAGCATTATTATAAGTTAAATGATGTCGATGTGTATCACCAAATTACAGGAATCCCTTTAATGTTTTATTGTCTATGAGATCTTATCCAGAGAATAAAGAGCAGCCAGTTACTTCTGATGCTGATTATACAATGACTTTGGACTAATGTTGAGATTAAAGTTCAGAAAGAGCAATGTACAGTTTGGATAACTATAAATAAATTAGTTTATTTCTAATCACAAATCTGATAGGACTCGGCCAATGGCGTGTTTCTCATATGTGTGGGTTTAGTAGGGCGTCACTATGTGGTGCCTAAGGTTTCTTCAAGTCTTCCTACATGCAGGATCTTCCTTGAATGTGAGGCTATAGGATGTTTTCATGCTTATAACTCTGATTGGGTGAAAGTATCAGCACATCTTTCCTCAGCAAGCCACATGATCTGAGTCATTCATATCACAAGTTATTCATGTCACCAAACTGTAATATGGGGGGTTGTTCAAGTACTTAGGTTTATTAGTTTGTCAGTTGAAACATCAACATATGGTGTGAGATCTTTTCATATAAATGGATAATTTTATAGGTATTACAAAAGATGAGGTCATACAGGACATACTCTGTCCCAGTCTTCTTGAAAGCACTATCTTATCTTTTAACCAGATGTTTCCTAAGACTACAATTATGATAAAGTAAGGCAGTAAATATTTTACTTGTGCTCATAACAAAAGACAGCTTGCATTCATTAGTTTTTACCACATTTACTAATTCATAAACACAGTCCTTAATCAGATTGCATGGAATTATGTTTTTTTTTTTATAACAACAAATCATTGTTCAAAACTGTGAACCAGTTTTTAGTTCTACAACAGTTTTGCTACTGTTCCCTTTAAGTCATGAAAAAGTTATTTTTGTATTTTCTTTGAATGTTTAAACATCCAGTTTTTATATGTCTTAAAAACGGGTTTTCTTGGCTTTGCAAACGTTGAGGAAACATTCCAGTTGATATTTTTTTTTAACATTATGGAAATGTTACTTTGATAATGTTCTCTGAATGTTCTGAAACAAGTAGTAACATTTAGAAAAAGTTAAACGAATGTCCAACTACGGTAAAAAATGTTGCTACCTTAAATGTTTAAGTACAATCAACATGGATGTTTAAGTCATCTCGACTTAAATTACATTAAACTGACTTAACAATTAGTCGAAACTTGTAAAAAAAAAGTAGTTTGATTTGAATTTTGATCAGTTAAAGCGATGTAAAAACATATGTTGTCATAACTTATTGATTTTATATATTTATTTACAGTGAATGTTTCAGAAAAAAACACCCCATGCTCAATAAATGCTGATATTGTTACATTATTAAAGACCATACTTAATAACTTTGAGAGAACCTTGTCAGAAGGTTAGCCAAAGTTAAGAGAACATTCACGGTTAGCTGGGAAGTTCCTTCTGAAATATGTTCCCAGTAATGAAAACAAAGGGAGCTTACAGAGAAGCTTGATTTTGCTTGATTTTAATGTTTTGCAGGATCATTGCATGCATTCTATGAAATTATTTCTGAAACAGCAAACTCTTTTGAAGCTTAAAGGTTAGCGTAGTGGTTCTTATGCGGTGCAAATTGATTCAGATTTTCCCTTCTCCTCTCTCTTCATATGGCCACGGCTCTTGAAAAGGCCAATTTTTATGATCTTTAAGTGCAGTGATCATGTGGCCTTATTTCACTATCTGTATTATCATGGTGGGTTATCAGTAAATTTTGGTCAAGGTCAAGAAGAAGGCTGGTATATGAACATATCAGTGAATGATATATGTGAATAGTACAATTGCACCAAAATACTATTCTGTAATTTTGTGAAAAGTACTCTCTTAGGACACTCTGAAACACTCCACCTCCCCCAGCTCCACCTGCCTAGATCTGCTATAGGGTTTGTGTATGTCTATTCATGCAGCAGCATCATAACTTACATGCTCACAGCAGTCTATCTGTGTATTTATTGGCAGTAGCAAGTCCACACTTGCTCCGTGGCAGCAGAAGCGAAGCAGATTTAGTTCGACCAAATACATTAACATTGCCATATTCTAAAACTATTCAGAGAGTTGTCACGATTTAAACAAATAAATAAATAATTGTTGATAATAAGGTGTGCTTTCTTTCTAAAAGAGACCAAAATCTATTAAATTCTTTTTTTTATCCAAAGAAATACATATGGAAATTGAGATTTGTTTCGACACATTGACCTCATGACTATCATTTGTGATGCATTACTGGCCATACTGTTTTTACCAAACAGTTTTTTAGATAGTGGACAGTTTTAGTGGGTTGACACAGGATGGGTGGTCTAGAATTATGTACTTAGCATGTTTCCAGTTGCCGTGTTAAATGTATAATGCCCCATGTGTTCATAATAGACTATCAATGCATTGCCAAGTGCATATATATAGGCTCCAAATATGTTATCATCTGCATCCGAAAACGTAGGCAGCTGAATTGTTGCCTCGATGCCCTATCAGGCAATGACTTTGCAGGCAGCATTTGCACACGAAGGTTCCTCAAGAAACTGATTTCGGACATACTTCTGAGGCAGTGTTACGGTTTAATTATCTACATCAAAACAGCGGGAGCTTTGGTGAAAACTAAGTGAATATTTAATGAATACAATAGTAATTTCCCGCTAAAAATGACATCATAAGTGGAAAACGTTGATCAAAAATGTACATTTACACACAAACTGATGACCAGCCGCAACTTTCAGGCGCCATCTTTATTTTTCTAGCTCAACTGTCACAAAATGGAAAGCACAGGATTGTGGGATATCAAAGGCAGTGAAGGATACATCTATGCTGCCTTCAAAAATCGATCAGATGAAGGCATCTCAGGCTCAGGAAGTGATCATTGCATTCGGACATGCCTTGAAGCCTTCAGACCTTGTAATGCGTCATCCGAAGGCAGCTTTCATCTTTTTGTTTTTGCAATTGCGAGTTTATATCTCACAATTGTAAACTCAAAATGAAAAAAAATCTGAATTGTAAGATAAAAAGTCGCAATTACCTTTTCAATTTTGTTTTATTCAGTGGCAGAAACAACAGTGAAAAAACGTATGGGCAGGGCTTGATTTTGTCCATAGGGCAGCGGTTCCCAAACTTTTTTTCCTGCGCACCCCCTTCTATGTCCCAACCCGGTTGGCGCACCCCCAATCCTCACTTCAAAAAAAAAAAAATGCAACAAAGCTTTGTTTTATCGCTTTTGTTTTATAAAGACGCATGTTTAAACATGCGCTAATAACCAGAACACTCATGACAATAACAACATCAACAAAGTTTCAATATAATGCAACAAAGCTACGCACAAGTTTTCACTTTTAACCCTTTCACACGTAAGTTTAAAATATTTTAACTGACCCCACAGCGTGAGTTTTTCAAGGCGACCGTTATTTAGAACTTGTCACTTTAATGTTTCCATGGTGACGCGTCATTCCTTGTCACGTGACACAGCGCAACCACAACACAGCGCTGAATGAATGATGTTCTGCTTTTATGTCATTTTTCCTTTTTATCAAAAATATTCACAAATGTATTAGCTATAGCATTAAACACTGAGATTCCGATTGTCAAATATGTGCAAGTGGATGTGTTTTATTGTTCAAACGCCTTCATAACGATCGTTAGTTTGTGCCACAGTTCAGAGAATCGGATCTGTTGGATTTACAACACGTGACGTCAATTCCTCCACTTCTCACGAAATACATGAAAGTAAGAGGCCGGTGAACTGGGAGAAGAATAGGGTAAAATGTGAAGCTACGTACACAATGTGTATCTGATATGAATACAACGTGTCGTCTTATTATAATGAAAAGGATTAATATTGCCGCTTCCATAGAAATCAGCTAAATCAAAATCATTGTTTTGCTAGTACTTATGTGTATTTAAATGTCTGAAACCTAAAATAAACATTACGTGGTTGAAAACACTCAATGGTTGTGATATATGACAGCACTGGCTCAGCGCCAGCCAACACGCGAAAGCACATTTGTCACGTTACCGGCTGCAGTGCAGAGCAGTGCGTAGAAGACAGCAGCTGTTTTCAACGTTTCTATCAAAAACTAATAAATTATAGTTTTTTTAATTTAAAATAAAAGCGATTACAAAGGAAATGTTTACTGTTCATGGTTTTTATTTTATTGTATGGCAAAAAATCCCACTTACAAAACAGACCGCCATTACATTTTTCCTCTCGCGCACCCCCTGGTGGCAGCTCGCGTACCCCTGGGGGTGCGCGTACCACACTTTGGGAATCCCTGCCATAGGGAATTGATTCAATAGGTTTTCTATTGGTCAATCCCATGTGAGTGACAGGTTGCCACGCCCTTGTGCCTATAAACAAGAGAAGAGATTTAGCTACAACAAGAGAGAGGGGAAGTTATTTTGATTCAAGATTATGAGGTACATGAATTACACAAATAATGACATTTATAATAAATGCTGCAATATTCTATTAAAAACTAGGAAATGTCCGTTTTGATTTCATGGTGACTTTAAAAGTCGATGTTTTTTGTTTACCAATTTAATTGTAGAAATATGTTATTCACCGCCATTAATGTTTTTTTCAGCAGCAAAAATTTCTGATAATAGGAGAACATTACTGAGACCAAGTCGGTATAATAAAGCACTGTAGTCAAATGATCTCTATAGGCTGCATTCCCTGAGGCAACCCACTTCATATGACTCAATATGACTTTTGCTTCGATTACAGCACCATACATGCACAAAAAGAACTACAAAAAAATAATATACCTGACTGACCTTACGTTTTCATATTGAACTCAGTCATCTTTTTTTGCAATTAAATGAACAGGACAATCCAAAAATCCAAACAGGACAATATCCCCTTTAATTTTGCTTTCTTCCATTAACATTTTTGCAGTTGTCATGCTTTCCTAGGTTAGATTGACTTGCTTATCTGTGATCTCTGTAATTGAATAAATACAATTTGTACTTGTTTACATTTTAAGAACAATCATGAGGCCACGACAGTAATGAGGAGATAAGAATAAGAGAAGTTTGCACATTGTAAACAAGAGTGTACTGTAGGCCTATAACTCCTGTAACGAGAGGCGGAGCTTTCATCTTCCTGAAGCTTTATAGAGAGTTTGTGTTCGAACACTGAATGCCACTCTTCTAGGGAGAAACTTTGGACAAAGCGGGAAAGATGCAGTACGACTATGGTAAAAACAAGGAAGAGCATCCGGAGCCCATCAAAACTGAAGTAAAAGGTAGGTGGAGGAAAAGTCGGTGCCAAATGTCACGAGCCTGTAGTGAACCGTTGCCGTTTGTTTATTGATAAACCAGTAAGTAGGCTACTAAAAAACTTCTACGCGAAACATGAAACATTCATGCACTTTGACTGTAGAGTTTTATTGCAGGCCTATTTTTCATGAGAGGCAGCACGTCTGAGTTAAAGTAGCCTACTGTGATATTGTAAACATTAGCCTACTACACCTTTCACGATATGTGCTTTTTCTTATATTTATAGGTCTACCTCTGTCCATAATATAGGCTAATGTCAGAGAAATAACTACTAAACAAGAAATTACCAGAACGGATCCAAATGCACAATTTTGTATGTTATATTTTAGAGCCAGTAACGTTAAATATGTTTTGCAACAAAATGCCTTGCAGTAGGCTACTTCATGTCGTAAATTAAATTGATAACTTTTTTAACGGTCCTTGTAACAAAATACCAAGTTTTTAAAGGATCTGCCCAATGTGTATAGCCTATCATGTTTTACATGTAATAATTATGTGACCTAGCAAATTTCATCAATTTATTTTTCTGTAGAGGAATTATAGCAATTTATCTTTGTGCTTGGACTCCAAAATGTATTGTAAAATGTCCACCTGGAAGTTTGAGCAAAGAATAGTTTTATCAGTTGAGAACGCCTGATAACACCGAATATGTAATTTCAGCAGACATCATAAAACCTTTTTGATTGGCTCCAGATCAAAACGTAAAATAAGAATTTCAATCTATAATTCTATGTACCTTCATTGGATTCCTTCCCATTTATTTTTTAGGTTTTGTACATGGTTGTGAAAGTTTGAAAAAAAAAAAGCTTGATTTTAATGTTTGGTGTTTTCAAGGTTTGTCCATTTTGACTACCTTTTGAATTTTGAAAATCTTCCTTGAAAATGCATTATAACGTCCAGTAAGTTTTTTTTTTTTTAAAGTAACTTTTATTATAGATCGAGTCATGGATTGTGAGTCTCATTGTGTGTTGAGGCAGTGCAAGCACAAACAAAAGTTCTTGTGAATGATGATCAGCTCTCCTCAGCCACCGTTAAAGCAACCTGAAACAAGCTTTTTATTAACCTGAAATGATTAGATATAAACACAAGCGTGTGGAATGTGGAATATTATCTTTGAAGCAATGCGTTTTAGGCATATAGTGCTGGACATGGCGATATCTTCCATAGTAACTCATTTACTTAGGACAAATATTTGCATTGTGAAATAGGGTGCTGTAGTGTGTATACGTTAAAATCCACACTAGAACATACATCATTGTACTGTCTTGTCATTCACATGGTGAACAAATCACCTATTTTTTTTTAATTCACTTCATATCTTTGTATTAAATTACTTTACCAGCCAAAAGATTAAAATAGTAGCGGTAACATTTTTTACTCATTAACAAATAATACAGTTCATTGTAGTGTAAGATAGAGTTGCACGATTCTTCATAAATTAATCACATTTTTGTTGTTGTTTGAAATCGAATATTCTTCCACGATTCTGAATAGACAACTAAACAAAATTTAAGTTTAATAATTAAAAAGAAAATCAGTTTGAATGATTCAATGACTCAATCACAAAGACTTCATTACAAACTGAACAGAAATACAAACAAACTGCAACTGCAAACTGACTATATGTAAAATAATGCAAACATACTTTATGGATGTAATGTAATCTCACGTTTCTTTTTAATTTTATTGCTAAAATTGGAGTGTTGCTTTTCTTGAATTCTGTATTTTTGATATCCGGACTGTCATTGCTGCTGAAAGGTGTTCATGTTGCACCCTGTATGTATGTGAACTAGTGAATATAAATGTGTTGTGGTTTCAAATAGAGCATCTGAGGGAGTGAGCGTAAGTTTGACGTCTTTCTGTCTACCGACTGTCACAATCCATCTTTCTCCGTTTTTCCCCCCTCTTTTAGAAAGCAATGCAATAGTGGAGTTTTTTTCTTTTGGAAATTGGAGCACACATTTTTTTATTTGCTATGGTCTACCATTCATATAAAAGTTTACTGGGCTGTTTTTGCATGTAATGTACATCTGATTATTCATTGAACTTTTATTTTGTCTTGACTGGATTTTATGATTGAATGAGCTCATAAACAGGCCAGATTTTGCAATTATGAATATGGATTTTTATTATTGTAAACCGCTACCCCACCCATGGAAAACACCAGCTGCGCTGATTAAAAGTGCTAGAAAAGTGCTTGAATTCCACTCCTAAAAATCTTTATGAATATTTTCACTTGGATTTATTTTTATTCATTTAGCAGATGCTTTTATTCACTTGAAACCGAGAGAGAAATATAATCAATTTATCAGAGGCAGACAATTTTAGTATAATCATAATACTGAATTAGTTTCAGTAGTAAACCAGAATGGTGCACGACTTGAGCAGAAGTGTACATTACAGAAAAGGCCAGAAAACGGAGAAAAGATTCATTTGTTTTAGGTGCCTTAAGGAGTGTCTATTTATGTTTCTGGTTAAGTTTGCTTGTGGAGGAGGCCTTGAGCAATTTTCTCTTTTTGAATGGTTCTATTAGCTTAATAGCAGATGGTTTGGACCGAGAAGTGGACATAATCAGCGAATTAGACCAAACTGCTCCACTTTAACTCCAGTTTAAACCATGTTTCATCTTCTCTGCAGGCTTGGTTCCTGAATGGCTGAAGGGCACGCTTATACGCAATGGACCCGGCCTTTTCTCAGTGGGAGAGACGTCATACAACCATTGGTTTGATGGAATGGCACTTTTGCACAATTTCACAATTAATAAAGGTATTTACTTTATTGCTTACTAAGATATGATATAGACATTTGATCTGAAAACAGGATGCACAGGTGGTCTTTCATCAGTTCTTGTCTCACAGCCTTCTGTTTGAGGACTGTCATCAGGGACCTTTGTCACCTCAGTGCTCCACACATGAATGTTTTTTGACTATTGATTAATTTTCAGGAGAGGTAACATACAGGAGCAAATATCTTCAAGGCGACACCTACAAATCCAACATGCAGGCCAACAGGATAGTGGTGTCAGAGATGGGGACCATGGCGTACCCAGACCCATGCAAAAATATATTCTCCAAGTAAGTAACGTTACTGCAACTGATTCAGAAAGAATCATGTATTTATAAAAACTTGATTCTTCAATGGAAAGTTACAATGCATTAAACCTAAATGGAAAAATCTCTCTTAAAATATCCCATAAGACAATAATTAATCATTAATTTAATTATAGAGCGTAATACTACTATATAGCTCAAATTTAGTACTTGACCCTTAACAATGAATTTTAGGCATTTTTATGGATCACACTCAAATTAACCAATGTGACTGAGAATTGAAAATCTTATAAAACCTATTAACACAATCAGCTAAAATTCAACTAGTGACTATAAGAATAGTTAGATTTTAATGTTCTTTTCACCTAAAACGGCTCATCAGATCATGTTAAATAATAAAATGTCAAATTTGTTCCTGTATGTGTGTATAAGCGGCACTGTGTTATTTGTGAACTAATTGTTCTTTTTAACTCTTTTTTCAGAGTGATCACCTTCCTCAGCCACACCATCCCGGACTTCACTGACAACTGTGCCAATAACATCATCAAATATGGAAATGACTACCATGCTACATCTGAAACCAATTATATTCGTAAAATTGACCCCTTCACTTTAGAGACTCAAGAAAAGGTAAAAATACTGCTTGTACATATATCTAGTTTAGTCTTGAAACGTGGCACAGGCTGATCACACTACAGTATCTGGTATTGGCTGAATCTGCAGCCAATGAGATTTCTTGCTCAACATTTAAAGTCCCCCTGTGGTGAAAATCAAGCTTTTAATGTTGTTTATATAATGTCTATGTGGTGTTTTTAATGTTTTAAAGGGATACTCCACTTTTTTTTGGAAATAGGCTCATTTTACAACTCCCCCAGAGTTAAACTGTTGAGTTTTACCGTTTTTGAATCCATTCAGCCGATCTCCGGTTCTGGCGGTACCACTTTTAGCATAGCTTAGCATACATCATTGAAGTGGACAAGACCATTAGCATTTCTTAAAAAAAAATGACCAAAGAGTTTAGATATTTTTCGTATTTAAAACTTGACTCTTCTGTAGTTACATCGTGCACTAAGACCGACGGAAAATGTAAAGTTGTGATTTTCTAGGCTGATATGGCTAGGAACTATACTCTCATTCCTGCGTAATAATCAAGAAAGTTTACTGCCGTACCATGAGTGCAGCAGGCGCAATGATATGACGCAGCGCCTGAAAATAGGCTACCTTCCGTCAACATAACCAACGTGACCATAGACAACCCATAGATTATGTCTATGAGACAACCTGCTTGCACAGGGAGCCTATTTTCAGGCACTGCGTCATATCATTGCGCCTGCTGCACTCATGGTACGGCAGTGAAGTTTCTTGATTATTACGCAGGAATGAGAGTATAGTTCCTAGCCATATCAGCCTAGAAAATCGCAACTTTACATTTTCCGTCGGTCTTAGTGCACGATGTAACTACAGAAGAGTCAAGTTTTAAATAGGAAAAATATCTAAACTCTTTGGTCATTTTTTTAAGAAATGCTAATGGTCTTGTCCACTTCAGTGATGTATGCTAAGCTATGCTAAAAGTGGTACCGCCAGAACCGGAGATCGGCTGAATGGATTCAAAAACGGTAAAACTCAACAGTTTAACTCTGGGGGAGTTGTAAAATGAGCCTATTTCCAAAAAAAGTGGAGTATCCCTTTAAGACAAACCATGTGCAGATTCATAAGTCAACACCATTGCTGAGTATTTTCTCTTTAAAACTATAGTGTACACAGAACGAAGTTTACTAAATGTGATTTGGTTCCTTCAAGACCAAATACGTTAACAGCGTAAACATCCATTAACATGCTAAAACTATTCTGAGTTGTCATAATTGTAATGCTGTTCTTAATTTCTGTTCTCAGCGAATATTGTTGTTGCTTTATTCACTCTAGGTGGACTACCTGAAACACCTTCCTGTCAATATTGTGGCATCACATACGCATTATGATAAAGAGGGAAATAGCTACAGTATGGGAACATGCATTGCAGAGAAGGGCAAAACCAAATACACTTTGTTCAAGGTTGCAGGAGGAAGTAAGTATACTGCGTTTCACGGTGCACATTACTATTACTCATCTTAGGGGTTTGTTCCAATCCAAAACCCCAAGTATTAAACTTAGCCTGCATGTTTCATAGAGATTTGGGAGTAGCTAATTTTTGAGTTTTGCAGAGGCAAGAATCGCTTGCATGTAAACATTGTTGTTTTTGCAATACCGTTTAATGCTACTAGTGGCTGCTACATGAAATGCCTCATCTTTAAGCATGGGAGCTTTCAAAACACTCCTTTGAACCAGTAGTACGGAGTGTGTTGAACTGCCAAAGTCACATGATTTCAGTAAACGATGCATGGGTTTGTCATACATGTGTCAATTTAAATGGTTTGCTACTAGGGGTGATTTCAGAACCTGTGCCTTTTTTTTTTTTTTTTTTTACCTGATCTTGGATAGCGTAGACCTTTTTTACCTGATCTTGGATAGCGTAGACCTTTTTTAATATTACATTTGTAGAATAATAAAAGGTAGTAGTAGTATATTGTCTCTTATTGATCTGATTAGCCAAGCCCTCCATTAAGACCCACTATATACATTTATTTTTGTTTCTTCACTTAGGGGTAAAAAGAAGTTTCCCTTACGAAAATTAACCATGGTTTTACTACAAATAAAACCAAAAAAACATGGTTATTAAACCATGGTAACTACAAATGGTTTTGCTACACTAACCATAGTTTAACCGTGGTATTTTTTGTAAAACTGTGGTTATACAAATGGTACTCAATCTGCCAAAAAACTGTGGTTACTACACTTTTACTATAATAAAACCATGGTTAATTTTTGTAAGGGTTGAAATACCTTTTCAGTAGTATGCTGTTAGCGAACATCATGACGCCACCCACACTGCTGCGAGCGACGTTTACATGAATATGTGCTGCGCGCTTCTCTCTCAATAACAAAAGAAACACACAACAAAAATTACAGCGGTGAGAAAACAGCAGTTAAGAAAGCATCGGATCTTAGCGATGTGCATATGTTTGTTCATGTTTTTATTTGTGTCTGACCTCGATGAAATGAACCAGAGAAGGCGGAGCCTCAGAGCCATAATCACCACGGACCAATGGTAGTTCGAAGGTGTTTACCAGCCGGAGCGAACTTTTCCAGAAAGTTTGCCTGAAACAAACTCCAAATGAACTTCGTTTTGGCCTGATTTTGATTAAAATTCACATCGCACAAGTTTATTCTTCGATTTTGCTTGAAGTATTAAAATAAGAACACATACAGACACTTCATACATAGTGGTATTAGATGATTTGTAGATTATATTAAAGGGGTAGTTTTGTCATCACTTACTCACTCATGTTGTTCCAAAGCTGTATGAGTTTCGTTCCTCTGTTGAACACAAAAGATGATATTTTAAAGACTGTTGGTAATCAAACAGTTGACGGTAGCCATTGACTGCCATAGTAGGAAAAAAATACCATGGAAGTCAATGGCTGTCGTAAACTTTCTGGCTACGAAACATTCTTTAAAATATCATCTTTTGTGTTCAACAGAAAAAAAGAAACGCCTACAGCTTTGGAACAACATGAGGGTGAGAAAAGGATGACAATTTTCATTTTTGAGTTAACTATCCCTTTAACTAAATAGAAAACATTCGTAATTGGTTTGTAAAAGCTGTCTGACAGGTTTTTAAGCAGTTTTTGTTGCGTTTACGTTTTGACCAGCACGTGTTGCCAGTGTGTGGTGTTTCGAGTGCATCGAAAACTTTGAACAAACCGAATCAATTGCTTCGCAAAAACGCTCAGTTACTCCTATGACTAATTTTGACTTGCTAAGACCTACCAACCCTCAACAATTGTTTCTCAGGTAGCTCAGACGGGTCTCCACTGAAAAACGCTGAGGTCGTGTGCACCGTGCCCTGCCGCTCTCTCCTCACACCCAGTTATTACCACAGCTTTGGCATGACCGACAACTACTTCATCTTTATCGAACAGCCCTTGAAGCTGGATATCCTCAAAATGGCCACTGCCTACCTGAGGAGGGTAAGCTGGGCCAGCTGCATGAAGTTCCACCCTGAAGACAGCGTAAGGACAAACCCTTTCAGAGATTTGAATGCATGTTTGGTCACTCGATTGTCAGCTGGACAATGTTACCGTTTACTTCGCATCTCTAAACTCCTTTTACCTCTTACATTCATTAGACCCTGATTCATCTCATTGACCGAAAGACAAAGAAGGAAGTTGGGACCAAATTCTACACGGGTGCGATGGCTGTCTACCATCATGTCAATGCCTTTGAAGATGATGGGCATGTTGTTTTCGATGTGATCGCCTATGATGACAACAGCTTGTATGACATGTTTTACCTGGACAAGCTGAAGGAGCAGATGGGCAATAATACTATGTATGTCAAGCCCAAGTGCAGAAGATTTGTGTTGCCACTTAGTGACAAGGTACATTATGTTGGTAACAGTGTTTGCAAGGCAGCAGTGTATTCATGTTTGTCAAACATTCTGGTTAGGGTTGTTTTTTTAAGCTGCCATGCAAACACTGGCATTTCCATCAATGGAAATCTACTTTATTATGTTGTACTCAAAGCCTCTGATCATAGACAACGAACGTAATTTTTTCTTTGACTCTCAGGGTGAGACAGGTGAAGATCTGGTCAAACTTAAATACACAAGAGCCAGTGCTGTGAAGGAGAAAGATGGGAAAGTTCTGTGTCAGGGCGAAGTACTCTGTGATGGTAAGCTAATGACACTGGGGTGACTTTATTCTGTGTGTTTGTGTGTGTTTCTGTCTATCTGTCTGTCTGTCTGTCGTATTGATCTGTCCATCAAGTGTAATTCTTGACGTGACGTGGGTGCGTTCTTACTAGGGATGTCCCGATCCGATACTCAGGATCGGTATCGGCTCCGATACTGCCATTTTTGCGGGATCGGGTATCGATCAGACATCGATCAGACGAGGCCGATCCAAATCCGATATTGTGGGTATACTATTATGTGTTATTGTTAAGCCCCACAAAAGGCACAAAAACATTCTAAAGTACCATAACGTTTTCGTGCACTCTATTATAAGTGTTCTGAAGCCATTATGTGAGATATAAATTAATATTTAAGTCACTAAATTCAAGATCACGTAAACTTTTCCCTCTCGCGGCTGTCAGTCATTCTCCATTCAGCATTCAAACAGCGCGTAGCGTTCGGTTACAGTCAATGATGAAACTATCTTCAAGATGATTCAATGTTAATACTATTATACTTGATCTGTAAGATAAAGGTCTATGTTTTCGCATAAAACAACTTTATCTTGCTGGACTTTATTGCTGTAACTCAATCGTGTTACTCTCTACCGGGTGTCGGACGCTGTCGGTTTGATCACAACACTAGAGTCAGAGCACTATAATTGTTCTTCACGCGCACAGTAACTGAAATTTAAAACTGTTAAAAGAAAAGGCTCAATAAACGATTGCATAGATAGATACTGTATAATACACTGTCCATCAATATGTATCTCCGTTGTGCTTTGAACTTTTCAAAGCGGACTCGACGCGCTGCGTGCTGTAACTCCACGTGGCTTCAAGCGCATCATTCTCCGCTCGGGATGCGCATAAGCGCTTTGTGCCGCACTGTATTGAAGCCTTTCATATCATAATGCAGTGACGCAATTAAAGCTTATTAACATTAATAATTTTTATAATAGCATTTTTGTCATAGATTATGATAATATATTTTGGGGATTTGTTGTTTATCTTTATAATGAAGCTGTCTGTATTAAGTAGATTGTGTTTAACACACACAAGAGTGATAATCAGTTTAACACACAGTTATAGAAATTCGACTTGATTTAAAAAACAAAAACTGTACTGGTATTTACAATGTAGAATGCTGCTGTTTAAATTGTTTTAACTTTAAGCCTGTTGGTAGCTAGCTAGCTTTAAGTACTGAAGTACCTGTTTTTTCTTTCATTTATATATTTCTTTATTTTTTTGTAGTGTTTGAATAAAGGGTGACAATCTTTCATAATCAACTGTTGTTGTGGACTATATAGGAGGTATATTTTAGGTGGCTAATTGAGAAAATTGCTATATTTTTTATTAGTTTAAGAATAAAATAAAACTATCGGATTAATATCGGTATCGGCAAAAGCCAAAGCTGCGGCATCGGTATCGGTATCGGAAGTGAAAAAGTGGTATCGGGACATCCCTAGTTCTTACTTACCTGTTAATAAGTCTTCCCATTAACACCAACCTTTATTTATTCAGACCAATTTGTGGACGCAGAATCTGCACTCAAAAATGAAAGGCAGGATTTATTGTGTAAACAACGTAACCGGCCAATCACAGCATGATGGAGGCATTGGCATCTCTCACTTGACTTTTCCCCATTAATTCTCAATTACCCGCCCACCAAACCCATGGCACACACTGTGTGCATGCGTGTGTATGCATGTGTGTTAGACTTGTAGTCAAGACCGCCTAAACCGAGACCAAGACACTACCAACACCAGAGGGTATCAAGACCAAGTCGAGACCAAGACCAAGTCGAGACCAAGACCAAGTCGAGACCAAGACCAAGTCGAGACCAAGACCAAGTCGAGACCAAGACCAAGTCGAGACCAAGACCAAGTTCTAGACCCAGTTGAGACCAAGACCGGGACAAAGTCGAGACCGGAGGGAAAAAAAAACAGACTAGTGTTGAAGCTAAGCAATAACTTGTATGAATTCAAGAACAGCAGCATATAGGGTTCAGCCGCAGTTTACATTCAATACATATTAGACGGTATTACTTCAACTACACAGGCAGAACAATACAGAGACAGACCATGTCATGTGTGTGACTGTGAGCTCACTTTAAATGTTTTTGCAGACTGTTTTTTTTTTTTTTTTTTTCATCAAAACCCATCATGTTCATCAGTGGTTGTATATCAAGCAGGGACACGTTTGTGTGCATTGTTTTGTGATTTCACCAGAACGAATAGAGAGTATCCGCAACGGATTGAAGCGCACGTCCGAGTGAAGACAGTGCGGTGTGTGCGAGCCACACGAGAAAACCCTGTATCCGCGCCACTCATCGCAGCGGCCACGAGCACTTTGATCACCTGATTTAAAAAACACATATCATGTACAGTTTTTGAGACAGCGAGACCTAGACAAGACCGAGAGGTCCGAGGACAAGACCAAGACCAAAGACCGTCAAGGCCGTGACAAGACCGAGACCACGTAAAAGTGGTCTCGAGACTCGAGACATACATATAGTGTGTGTGTGTGTGTGTGTGTGTGTACTGTATCTGCCTGTCTGTGTATGTACAGTATCAGTCTGTCTGTCTCACAGTTTTATTTGTTATTTGTAATACTCTTTTAACCTCTAAACTTATGTTTTGCATTTAGGTGTCGAACTTCCAAGAATTAATTACAATTTCAATGGAAAGAAGTACAGATATTCTTACATGTGTTGTGTGGACATATCCCCACTGGCCACAAAGGTATTTATCTCTTTAATTTTACAATACATTTATGAACTTGGCAGGACTTTCAAACATTTTATCAGTAAATGCATTCCATAAGAATCAAACCCAGGCCTAGCGACAGGAACACATTTTTGCCAATCAGAACTAAGCACTGACCCGTTATTTTTTATTATTATTTTTTTTTTTACAGATTGTAAAGTTTGATGCTGAAACAAAGCAGCAGCTTGAGTGGAATGGAGAGGACGGATTTGCATCAGAGCCCGTTTTCATTCCCAGGCCTGATGCAGTTGATGAAGATGATGGTTAGTTACTGCCTTTCATAATAAATATGACCAAATTGGTCAGCTTCAATTGTCTCAAAAAAATGTACGCCAAAAAAAAAAAAAACGCTTTATACATTTTTAGCTCAACTTGTCTCTTTTTTGTCTTCATTTTTTAGGTGTAATCCTGACAGTTATCATAAACGCCAAACCAAGGGTGGGTGGCTTTCTGCTGATGCTTGATGGCAAGTCTTTCAAAGAAGTTGCCCGGGCTTGTGTAGATGTAGAGTTTCACATGGACATGCATGGCTACTTCATACCAGACAGTAGTTAAGAGTTTCATGTCTGCCAGCCGTCTAGGCATAATGACAGAGATGGAGAATGTCCTGTAAATGTTGATATTTTGATGGTCTAGTTACAAAGTTGTCAAAAATGTACTGCATTATCAGCTGTAAAGTGGACCATGCATAAATAACTGTAAAAATGTTTCTACAAATCGTGCTTTGTTTGCTTGTTTGTGAATAATATAAACGTGTAAAAAAAAAAAGGTACTGCTTGAAAGGTCATTAATTGCATTTAGTAATATCAGACAAATATGTGAACTGTTGTGCTGTGTTTTTTGCTTGCATAAAGCAATCATAAATTGAAGATATTATTCTGTAATTGTGGTGCTTGCCAGTGTTTGAATTGTCAGAACTTTAGGGTGGTTTAAATACCAGCCTGTATGAATCTTTTTAGGGAATCGATTTATAAGTTTCAAATCAATAGGATGATTCAAACCTTTGAATCCACCTTTTTTTGTTTCTTCCTCTCACCATTTTATCCCCCATTTATAAATAATAGGACCCTTACTATAAACAGGAATACATTATTCAACAAGAGACGTATGAGAAAAAAGTTTTATATGTTGTTTTGATAGATGAATCTGGTCAATCTTTTCAATATAATTCATTTATGGACAAATTTAATCCTTTAGAGAAGTTAAAAGTGTGTGTAGAGCAATCCCTCTTATATTAAAACAACACTCTTACATATTCAAATGTATTTAAGTTGCCCGAGTTGAAGATTGGCCAAGTATACATTGGGGATAAAAAGTGCAAAGTAATAGGAAATGTATTAAAATGTACACACTAGTAAAAGTGTATATATATTTATTTTTTGGATAATGACACATTTAGAAAAAAACACTTATCTTAAATGGCCAATTGTACCTAAAATGAAGGACACAAGAAATATTTTTGTTTTTTTTTGGCGGCCAGTCACATTGCAGTTCTGGGAGGATCTTTAGATCTGGCTAAATATCGTTCCTGAAATTCCTTTACTAAATTTATTTCAGGTCTTGCTGGCCTCTCAAAAAATATGTAACCGATGTTAAACATTATTATTATGGGTAAATAATATGCATAAAAGCTTATTAAATAACAGTAAACCCTCTTTAACCTGCTTTAAAAATAATGTAACAATTATTTATCATCCATAAAACATAGCCAAAGATAATCAATCCCTGGTGAATTGTATATAGTCATGTACGAGTCTATTTTCTTCTAAGATTTTGTACATGCTTCAATTATATTTAGTTTAAATTTATTTTTTCCTTGCAACCCCCCTTAAGTGTAAAGATTTACCATTTGTTTATTGTACTGAATATGCTACTTTTTCTTTTATACACATGAACCTGTTATAAACAAAATTATTTGATTACACGTTATTTGCGTATATTTTCATATGGATATTAGTGTTCCCTACTTGAGATTGTAAAATTATATTATTCACAAAAAAGAAAGAAAAGAAAAAAAAGAAAAATGCTGGTGGTGGTAATGCCGTAAATGAAAAAACAAAAAACAAAATCCAGTATATGATCGTTAACATTTGGATCACTAGGGGGCGCCAGAGGTGAGAACCTGCACGCGATGATGACGACATATTCCTGAGACGCGCGCTGGAATTGAACAGGACATGACTTTGTCAAGTGTGTTTTCAGCTTAATATAGGCTATATTTATATTTTATTATACTTTGATGCATTGAGGACCTGTCTGAAACCAACATGTCTCTGCTCAGAGCCCTCAGATACAACGTAACTATCTAAATCTTGTCTTGTTTTTATTTTAACGCGTATATTTTGCTTGCAATACGTCACGATGACAGTCCTAATACAATGTGTTTATGTCAGAGAGTCGTTTGTGAACCCACGCAGCGAGCTAAAGTCACCTTGTCAAATACCAGGCATACATAATGTCATATTGTAATCATTTACCGTCATGTTTCCCTGTGTGTTTAGTCTCAAACGTTGTGTAGAAATGTAATCTCGCGCTCTTCGTCCAGTCTGACTGATGGAGAGGTGCGAATCAAACGAGTATTAAAGGAGAAGTTTCCTCAGGCTTCGGCGCTCAAGGTTGTGGATATATCAGGTGAGTCCTGACTTTAAATGATCTGATATTATCTTTAGACAGTTAGGTAATGTGCATTAATATAACTGGGCTCATTTCAGGAGGCTGTGGTGCCATGTACGAAATACACATCGAGTCTGACGAGTTTAAAGGGAAGAGAACTGTACAACAGCACCAATTAGTCAATCAGGTAAGTTAAATGAAGTATTCATAATTAGGTTCAGTAAAATAGAGCAGTAAATAGTTCGCATCTTTTAGCTTTTTACACTGCTGTCAAATCAATTAATATCACTTAACATAAAAGTGTGTGTGTACGTGACGTGTACACTGTCGTTCAAAGTTTTGCGATCTGTAAGTTTTTTTAATGTTTTAAAATAAAGTCTCTTATGCTTACCAAGGCTGCATTTATTTGTTTAAAAATACAAAACAAACTAATATTGTCAAATATTATTACAATTTTAAATAACTGTGTTTTTTATTTGAATATTTTAAAATGTAATTTATTCTTGTGATCAAAGCTGTATTTTCTCAAGAAACATTTCTGATTGGACCCTAAACTAAAATGTTGCCTAATATCTTATAATATACTATTCGGTCACAAGATTGGAATAATAATTTAGATTTTTTTTCATATTTTTGATTGAAGTCTCTACTGCTCTCCAAGGCTAAAAGATTTCTATTTGAATATATTTTAAAACGTAATTTATTCCTGTGATGGAAAAGCTGAATTTTCAGCAGCCAGTCTTCAGTGTTCAAAGTTTCAAAGATCAAATTGCAGATAAATAGAGTTACTGTCTCCCAAAAGAAAGAACCAATTCTGAAACGAGTCGTCAGTAATTTCAGTCTCAATTCCTGAATGAACCTATGTAGGTGTGTAACAAATTTGCATAATACCAGGCTATGGTCTTCATTGGCTGCCCGCGAACAACGCAGAGCTGGCAACTCTCACGCATTGGCCGTGAGACACACGCATTTGATTGGTTTCACACGCTCACACGCCACAGCCCCGATTTCTCACGCTGAAGTGTCAACCTAGTCGGTCAAATGTATATCTACCTGTTGAGCCACTCATGATCGACTAGTTATGCCGAAAATTATTTAAAATCTCCCGTAATCTAGAGCGAGCGCGCACGCGAGACAGAGATTGTGCTCCAAACCGCGTAGCGCGCGCACGGCAGAGAGGGAAAGCGAGCGAGAGACCTTGCGTGTGCAAGCACCCCCCCCTCCCCCCGTTGGAGAATGTCATCCCATACCGACGCCCCCCCCTGTCGGAAAAGTCTCACGCCAAGCTAAACTCAAAAGTTGGCAGCTATGACAACGTCTACTTCGACCCTCAAACACTGTAATTGTATCTGAGTCTGGAAGAGTGTGGTTGATGTTGTCGACATGTTGAGAAGACGCTGTTTTCTGCACTGCAAAAGCAAATCCACTTTGATGCACTTTAAAAGGAGAAGACGGGCTCAAATTGATACGGTAAAACCGACGCCATCGTTCATATTACTGTGTTTACCAAGGGGGTAATCCACCAGCCGGAAACTGAAGTCTCCCCGGGGGCCGCCATTGGCTAGCAATTGACTAGCAATTCCATTGACTCTCATTCATTTTGGCGCCACTTTGACAGCGAATAACTTTACATCTGAGGCGTCCAAAGACTCAATTTGCCCATTGTTTATTTCTAAAGAAACACGACAATGTATAAAAGGCTCCATTACCTTGTATCTTACGTTATGGCCCCGTAGAAGCAGTTTTTGTAAAAATAGGCTAACGATTGCATCATAACACGCGACTCTCTGTCGCGCAGTAGAGAAATTACCGTATAGACAGAAGTAGAAGCTCGCGGGCAATCGGGGGGACGTGGAGGCATAAAGTCAAGGGAGAAGCCCATAGAGAGTCATAAAGTTGCTCTTGCTGCTGCTCATGGACAGCTCCTACTCACGCTCTCCGGCTCTGTGAGATTCGGAAGGGAATGATTCAGATTCCTCTTGGCACCGCTACTAGAAGACTTACCGCTGTCAGACAGGTTACTCACGTCACATCTACGTCATCCAGCTCAGTGTGAGCCTGCGCAGTCGCTCGGCCATCAGGAAGTGAGTGCTTCTAATTGACTTCACTTTTCTCTGTTGAAGTCTATGGGGTCGCTGTGTCCATTTCTTTTACTGTCTATGGTGTTTACTAGTGCGGAGGAAGAACTGAAAATCAATGGTCGTTTCGTTTCCGACGCGTGCTGTAAGCATTCGACCAATCACAACAGACTGGGCCGTCCGACCAATCGGAGCAGAGGAAGCTCTTGGAAAGGGTTTAGGGTTTAGACCGAATTTTTAATCGAACCATTTCAGACACTGTGAGAAAAGAGGTGAAAATAATGACCTTTAAAATAGCATAATAGGGGCACTTTAAAGTAGTATTTATTAAGTGAAAATAATAATCTGTGGTTTGTCTTTCAACAGGCTCTTAAAGATGAGATTAAAGCCATGCACGGTCTACGCATATTCACTGATGTTTCTAGAAAGTAGGAGCTTCTCAGCGCCATTCTCACACTGTGTCAGTCTGCTGTCTCACTACAATATTGTATCACACACATCTGTCTGTCTCCTTAATAAATAAAGCAGAGTTGCTTGCAGAGTAACAGTGGCAGGAAAATACTTTATAGGTTTTATGAATAAAAGATGTACAGTTAAAAAAAGATATACAAGGTATGGTTCACGAATGCTGTAAACGCACAAGATAAAGGAATGTAATAATATTGTTTTTGCCTATAAATGAGTGTGCAAGAAAAAAGACGTGTGGGTTGTTTGAATCATCAATCAGTAATTTATCTGTTTTTTCCTATTCTGTCTTTAAGTCTGTTGAACCATTAAATGATGTCACTTCCCTTTCCTTGGCAAACTTGTGTGGCACAAGATTGATATAGGGACAAGCTAATCAATTATTATGTCATATGTAATTGATTCACTGATTGCACTTTTAAAATGACCAAATCCTTCTGTAATATTAGGTTTACAGAAATCATTTTCACTACTAGATAGAAAGCGTTAAAAGAATTGTGAATTTTATCTCCAATTGAATACTGTGCATTAACCTCAATATGTATAGTTTTTTTTCTGAACTAATTCCTATAACAATGAAAGTGCTTATTTGAACCCTTCTTCCCCTCAAGTTTTGTTACATTACGTATGCTATTACTAGTTTTACGGTACTGTAGTTTATTTGAGTACCGTATGTGATAATGATGCTCTGCTTTCCAATCTGGATGAAAGCAGTCGATCTGATTCATTTTGGCGAATCGGTTCGTTCGGAGAGCTCGTTTCAATGGTTCAAACTGATTCATTGACATGCCAGACGTCCAAATGTCGGCGTAATTCTTGTATCGACATAAATGTTAAGTTAAATATAGCTATTAATTATTGTATTTACGAATAAGTAGCTTGATGATACCGTCTCATGGTTTCAGCGAGCCGGTTCACGAACTAATCTATCGTCTCTCCTCAGCCACTTAAAAGTGTCTACCGAAGACCATTTTACGGCATAAACCTTTTGTTGGTGCGTACATAAGTAGTTAAATGCTATTATTTAGCTCATTTTCCCTCTAAAATGTCTCCTACATTGTCACATGTTCGATGTTCTCCTTAACAAGTCCAATGATTTACAAATGCTTTGCGAATCGGTTCAAATGAACGGTTCAAAAGAAGGATTCGGACACCACTAGTGGATGGTGCGACAGGAGCAGCAACGAGAGCGCAGTTTCCAGCAGGGTTTCAGCAGCGGTTCACATCATCTTCAGACATGGCAAAGGAGGGGACGGAGATTGCGGAAGAAATCGACCAAATGATGGACCAGAAGGAGCCTGAGAATCCCGTTTCTCCGGTAATAGATCCGAAAGAAATGCGGGCTGTTGTGCTGACGGGCTTTGGTGGTCTAAACAAACTCAAAGTCACCAAGAAACCAATGCCAGAGCCTCAAGAAGGAGAAGTCAAAATTCGCGTGAAAGCATGGTAAATATTTCTGCTTTATTTACCATGCTCCGCGCGACTGGCAACCGCAGCAACATGTTGCAACTAGCAGCAAGAAGAACAGGTGCTTCACCTAGAATCCATATTAGTTATTTATCTAGGATTTAAAGCAGTTCATGATATAAATCTCGGTGGTTTTGGAGGTTATATGCAGATATAAGTAAATCCGTTTTTCCTGTACGCGTGTTTTGTTGCCTCTGACAGAGATTTCAAACCACACAGACTATAAAAGGTTGAAACATTACACTTTTTTAAGGTTGACTTTGTTTTATTAAATGATAAACAAAACATTATTTAACAGTTTTGTAACACGAGCAGATCCACCTGGTTGGTTCTTGTGCTTGACGGCTTATAGGACATTTAAATAGTGTAGCCTTATCGTGGGAATAGCGATAAATTGTATCATAAAACTATATTAAAACTAATTAGAATTCTGATTGAAAACTATATATATATATATATATATATATGTGTGTGTGTGTGTGTGTAGCCTAATGTGCTGTCAAATCGATAAATCACATCTAACAAAAGTTTGTTTACATAATATAGCCTATATATGTGTTTGTGTGTGTGTAGCCTAATGTGTTGTCAAATCGATAAATCACATCCAACAAAAGTTTGTTTACATAATCCTATGCTATGTGTATGATTATTATATTTTTATTTTGAGTTGGGAACTTGATCAAATAGGTGCATTTCAGCATACTTTCTGATATTATATGTTTAATTAAAATGAACTAGAATGGAAAATTACATTTTAATTAATTTTACAGTGGACTGAACTTTCTTGATCTAATGGTACGGCAAGGAAATATCGATAATGCCCCAAAAACACCTCTTGTGCCTGGATTTGAGTGTTCTGGGATTGTAGAGAATATGGGAGAAAACACCCAAGGCTTTGAGGTATGTGCAGAAATATTTTAAGGTTGATATGTTGGTTGTGCAGTGTGCACTGATTCAAGAATTTCAGACGGTCGGTGATGGCCATTATTTACTTTTTCGTGGACATAATAGAGGACATAATCTAGAATGTATCGTTCTTTGGGTGGTGGGAAAGATTTGTTACCTGGCATGAAAAAAATCATTCATTGATTGAATTGGAAAAGATAACCCTGACATTATATGCTTCCAATATCAGCACATTCAATCTGAAACTGAACAGTAATGGAGTTTAACAACGTGTGTTTTCTTCTTTCAGATAGGTGACAGAGTGATGGCCTTTGTAAATTACAATGCTTGGGCAGAGGTGGTTTGCACACCGTTGGATTTCGTGTATAAGATCCCAGACGACATGACATTCCCGGAGGCGGCTGCCTTCTCTATGAACTTTGTGGCTGCCTACATGATGCTGTTTGAAGTGGCCAATCTCCAGGAGGGGATGTCTGTGTTAGTTCACTCAGCAGGAGGTGGGGTGGTAAGTCTGTTGCTTTGAGCGATGGGGTTAGTAAAGAATCTTTGAAGTAGCATATATTGATGTTTACTTAAATTGGAATTTGGACAAACATATCTGATCCCATATTGCTGTTAAGGCCCGCTCACACTAAGAACGATAACTATAACTATATTAGCGTCCACACCAGCGCGGTTATAAGCGCGCACTGCAGTTTTGTCGTCTGCCGCTTTAAATGCTCAAGGTCTTTAAAGTCTGATGGATTCTGATTGGCTGTCATTGTTCATCAGCTGGAAAAATCCATTCTGAAAGTGATTCATTCCAATGATATAGTTTCTCTGTGCCGTTATCGTAGTAGTTCTGTTGTGGACTCTGCTATTCTTTTACATTCAGAGTTATCATCATTGGTGTAAACGGGCCTTTAAACAAATGCAAATCTACAGCTTCATTATATGGCTTTTGGTGGAATATGATCAAAATGAGTTTAAGGGTGTGTTCACACTAGACAGGTTTGGTTTGATTAAAACGAACTCTAGTGGGATTGCTCTGTTAGTGCGGTTCATTTGAATAAGTGTGAACGTTGCCATCCGAACCCTGGTGCGCAACAATCAAGCGGACCGAGACCCACCTTTCCTTCCAATGTACTCTAGTGCGGTTTGACTGAAATATGAATGCAATACGAACCATAGCCATCTAAACAAACCAAAACACAGGACATGACGTCACAAGATGCGACCCTAAAAAGGCCAGAATTCTCAAGCATACCTGTTTTTCTCATCATAGTCGTGATGCTGCCCATCAGAGTTCGGTACAGGCATCAGAACCACGTCTCCTTGCAGCAGATCTTCGTGTGTGTGTGTGTGTGTGCGTGTGATAGAGGGATTCCTGCTGCTGTTTTGATTCCTCTACACATTTTATAAGCTTTTCACAAGTTCCTAGCTTCTCAGAATAGCAGCATATGTATGTGCATATAACAAAAGTGTTTAGCACACAGCATTGTTTTGGATATTTGGTAAGTTCTGTTGCAAAATATACGTCATAAATGCCGTTTTCTTGATTTGTATCGTGTTAAAAATGACGATGTGAACACTAAGCGAACCAGGACTTACTGTATAATTTTCTTTTTTGGTCCGGACTAAATGAAACAAGAGAACCGAACTACAAGAGTGAACACACCCTAAAGCCCTGTTTACAGCTGGTATTAAGATGGGTTCTGGTCGATTGGATCACAAGCAGACCAGAGAGACACATTCCCGTTTACACCTGGTGTTTTAATCCGTCTCTTTTGTCCACTTTCAACCACTTCTGTCCTGATTTCTTCGAGGGGAGGGTAAATGTATGGGCTTTTTCAGATCTTTCAGTCGAATGGACGAAATAAGCTCACGCAATTTACATATGAACACGACCGGAGACGACAGAAAAACACACAGAGAGCAGCAGCCGAACGCTGTGAGTGTGTGTTAGAGATCAGGAATGGTGAGAGAACATTGTGCTTGGTACGTTTTTTCATCTTCAAACCAAACTTGGGTCTTCAGCCGGCAAAGTTTAAACCCCGAGCGCTTCCCATAATGTTCACGCGTTAGATCAGTAGACGGAGAGAAGACGGTCTTTTGTGGCTGTTTGAACACATTCGGTCACATGAGCGTTTACACTACGAAAGCAATCCGGTTTAATGTGTTTTCCACTACATCTGGAAGTGGTTGAAAGCGGACAAGATCAAAACGCTTCAGACCCCGTTTACGCCTGTATTTAGCGTCGTCCACTTGTGATCCGATCGACCAAAACGCATCTTAATAGAGTGACAGAAACCATTAATCACATTCCGTTCCGTTTTTCCTCTTTTTCCACATAAGGGTCAAGCAGTCGCTCAACTTTGTTCCACTGTCCCCAACGTCACTGTGTTCGGCACCGCCTCGCCCTTCAAACACGAAGCCATAAAGCATTCAGTTACGCATCTCTTTGACAGAAACCTTGACTACGTTCCAGAAGTTAAGAAGTAAGCACAAACGTTGTTGCTGTCAGTTTGTAAACGTAGGGGCAAAGCCGAAATGGTAGAATATAAACTAAATGAGTCATACTGGGAGGCCAGTGCAAGTCTGAGATGGCAGACGTCACCAGTTCCTCCTCTAGACCTGCGTGGCTCCAGTCCCCATGGCAACACACAGCAGATTTGAAAGTAGTGTGTTGTAGTTTGGGGAGGGGCACTGGTACATCCTTCTGATCAACCACACAAAGCCAGAAAATGTGCAGCAACTGACTCATTCAGAGCTAATTATTGTGGATCTTATTTGGTGAGCACCTTGTGTCAATTTTTTATTGGTTCCCTTACAAAAAAAATGGCACCATGAAGTCACCTTTATTTATATAGCGCTTTATACAACATAGATTGTTTCAAAGCAGCTGCACTGTACTAAATAGGTGTATAAATGGTGCAAACTTCATCAAATATGAGACAAATTCAAATTCTGCTGTAAAGCAGCTCTAAAAAGACAATAGTGTCATTATTCAGCTTGAGTCATCAAGTTCAATTCAGTTAAAGTTTTTTTCTCATCTGATAGAGCCAGTGCAAGTCAGATTGATGATATTACTGAACAAGGCTTGACATTAACACCCACCAACCCATCAATACGTTTTTTTTTATTTAGAAGTGCCGTGTAACGCGGTCACTCCTACTAGCCACTTTGGCGGGTTGAATTTTATACATAATATACATTTTTCAATTGTAGTCTTTTAAAAAGGCATCTAAAATAATAAACTAAGTTCAATCTAAGTGAACGTAAACAGTTGAGAAAGAAAACGCATGTGTAACAGTAATAATGGATTAGTGCGTCCGGTCTTAAAGAGACAGCAGCCCAATATACCTACTGACAAATTATGAGATAATATTAAAAAAAATCTATACGGCAGTTTTTCCCTATGGTATCGATTTCAAAATTGTGGCCAGTGAAAATGCTGAGTGGCTTGTAACTTTGGAAAACCATTAGCCACAGTGACTGGTGAGCAAAAAAGTTAATGTCAAGCACTGTTACTGAATATTAAAGGGTTAGTTCACCCAAAAATGAAAATTATGTCATTATGACTCACCTTCATGTCGTTCCAAGCCCGTCAGACCTCCGTTCATCTTCAGAACACAGTTTAAGATATTTTACATTTAGTCCGAGAGCTTTCTGTCCCTCCATTGTAAATGTATGTACGGTATACTGTCCTTGTCCAGAAAGGAAATAAAGACATCATCAAAGTAGTCCATGTGACATCAGTGGGTTAGTTAGAATGTTTTGAAGCATTGAAAATACATTTTGGTCCAAAAATAACAAAAACTACGACTTTATTCAGCATTGTATTGTCTTCTGGTTCTGTTGTGGATCCGCGTTCAGTGACGCCGCTGACGTAAGACGCTGCTGACGTGTGTCTGGTGCGCCTGAGCTTCGGTTACAGTCTGAGGGAGACGCACGCTGGAAACAAAACAATCTTCGCAAACATGTCTAAGGATTTCCACACAGAGGAAGACTTGCATTTTTTTGCCCAGCCATATTTATTTGAACCCGAATACACGGACGCACCAGATACACGTCAGCAGCGTCTTACGTCAGCGGCGGCACTGAACGCGGATCCACAACAGAACCGGATGAACGGAGGTCTTACAGGCTTGGAACGACATGAGGGAGAGTCATTAATGACATAATTTTCATTTTTGGGTGAACTAACCCTTTAAATGTCTTTTCAACCCCAACTTAACAAGCCAAAGGCGACAGAGGCAAGGAACCCAAACTCCATCACGTGAAAATAGTATTAACCCTATCCCTAAACCCATGTAGTTACCTTATATTACCAGTACTTTCTTTCAAATTCACGTAAATTGAGTATGAGAGAGGAGATTAGGACTCTTTTCATCTCTGTTGTTCCACATTCCTCTCAGGATCAGGGGGAAAGCAAAATTAAATTGGTCTCTCAGGTTGGTCTCTCTTCCACAATAGGCAGGAACCCGGGCATCACAAGACCTCCTACTGGCTAAGCCTTGTAGGCGGTCCAGGCACCATGACGACAGGAACGCTTTAGAGCCCATGTTTATAAAGACATTCCCATTCCTTATCATCTGTGCTCTCCTAAAAGACACTGAAAATATATATTTTTATGGTTCCAGATTTTAGGCAAGGCAAGGCAAGTTTATTTATATAGCACATTTCATACACAATGGTAATTCAAAGTGCTTTACATAGAAGAAATTTAAAAAATCAAAAGAAATAACAATAATTAAAACAGTTTAGAATAAAGAAATTAAAATAATCAAAAGAAATAAGAATAATTAAAACAGTTTAGAATATTTGTTTTAAGAGGGTCTCATTTAAGCAACTTGCCTGAGCTTAGAATAAAAGTATGGTTAATGATGTGTTTTTCTCCTGCAGGATATCTCCAGAAGGAGTAGATGTTGTGTTGGACTGTTTGTGTGGAGAGAACACAGGAAAAGGCCTAACTTTGCTCAAGCCCATGGGAACGTACATCCTGTATGGTTGGTACACACCGAGGAAGAGCATTCTCATTGCTCTGAAATTAATGAAATATTTTGAGGATATAAAAAGTGATTTAAAGGGACACTGTCATCATTAATCTGTTTGACTCTCTGTTTTGAAGAATGTTCCTGCTGTTCTTTTTCTTATTGAAATAATTCAGTGACCACTGGTTGTAAAGCCCCAGAAAGGACAAAAAAGTACTTCTATGAAAAATAAATGTGACTTAATTACAGAAATAATATACTTTAATGGAATGTACAACATACGAATTAATGTACCTAATGTTTCCCCAAAATGCAGACATAAATGCATGTTACTTACAATTACATTAAAATATATTCTAAAACTTTTTACATTTAAAACAAAAAAAGTTTGCAATTAGTGGTAATTAAGAGGGCTTTAAGTAGAACTTAAGTACATCTTTGTATGTAACTTCATAATTCTAAATTGTCTTTGAAATATGGTTAAAGTATTATGGAACATAAAGCATTTATGGAACTAAATATAATTTAATGTCAGTTCTTTTTAATCCTATATGTCGTGTATTTAAGTATATGTGTAATCACACATTTATAATGTTACATTTAAAAAGTTACAATTTAGCGCATTTAAAATGTATTAACTTAAATGTAATATCAAAACACACACTACAGTTAAATTATAATCAAGTACTTTACATGTGCTTTAGAATGTTAGTTAACACGTCAAAATATGGTAAAGCATGGCAAAAGATTATTGAAACATAATGATTTAAAAAATACTTTAAAATACAATTTTTTATTTGACATTATTACAAAGTGTTCCTTTTAAAAGCTCATGAAAATGTACTCTCTTGTAATCTCATGATAATGTACTCTATCCAAGTACATTTGTATTTATATTATACTTTATCGTTTTGAAGTACACTACAAGTGCATATTCAATACATCTTTTAAATCTTTTTCACAAGGGTTAATTTGCCTCATGCACTATTTTCCAATTCTTCTGAATCCATGATAGATTTGTTTATTGAACAAAACTGTAAATTAGGGCTGGGTATTGACACAAATTTCACAATTCGATTCGATTTCGATTCACAAGCTTGCAATTCGATTTCGATTCAATATTGATTCTTTTGGATATCAGGTACAGTACATGGCAAATTTTCTCAAGGAAAACAAATCTCTTAACTAATGCTGTAAACTATGGGAGTCAGTTGTAGCCTACTAGGCTTCATTAGCCTACTATAATATTGAAGGTAAAAATTAACTGATTTGTAGCTTTACACAACTATACAATTTGTAGCTATACAACTATAAAAACACTTAAATTACACTTTTATTTATTTTTATAATAATAAAGTTATATGAAATATAAACATTTAAATGGTGGCTGTCATAAAAACTTGCCAGATTTATTCAAACATGCATTAAATATCGAAGAACATTAAAAATGATAATGAATATGTAATATGGTGCATATATTTAGCAAAATGCTCCTCTCTAGAGTTAATTTTTCTAGCTGACTAACGAGTTTATGGTCACATATGTTTTTTCTGAGGTAAATGTGACGTTACATGACATTGTTTACAAGTTGTTTTACTGACATCTTTCCTCGGTTGAAACTGATTGAGCGATTCCATGTGACATGATACGGATTTCGATAAGTTGTACTCTATCTTTTAACACACTTTCAGACGTTCATTCATGTTTATTTCGCGCTGTAACGGGTATTATTTAGGCAGAAGAGGAAATAATGTGCGCTCTGCGCTGCTGCTTCTCTTAAAGGGATACTCCACTTTTTTTGGAAATAGGCTCATTTTACAACTCCCCCAGAGTTAAACTGTTGAGTTTTACCGTTTTTGAATCCATTCAGCCGATCTCCGGTTCTGGCGGTACCACTTTTAGCATAGCTTAGTAGCATACATCATTGAAGTGGACAAGACCAGACCAAGACCAGTGGAGTAATGATATGACGCAGCGCCTGAAAATAGTTCCGTTGTGTTGACGGAAGGTGGCCTATTTTCAGGCGCTGCGTCATATCATTACGCCTGCTGCTCTCATGGTACGGCAGTGAAGTTTCTTGATTATTACGCAGGAATGAGAGTATAGTTCCAAGCCATATCAGCCTAGAAAATCGCAACTTTACATTTTCCGTCGGTCTTAGTCCACGATGTAACTACAGAAGAGTCAAGTTTTAAATAGGAAAAATATCGAAACGCTTTGGTCATTTTTTTTTTAGAAATGCTAATGGTCTTGTCCACTTCAATGATGTATGCTAAGCTATGCTAAAAGTGGTACCGCCAGAACCGGAGATCGGCTGAATGGATTCAAAAACGGTAAAACTCAACAGTTTAACTCTGGGGGAGTTGTAAAATGAGCCTATTTCCAAAAAAAGTGGAGTATCCCTTTAAGCTGAGCTGAGCCAGAGCGATCTCACGCCACAGCGCCAAAACGGTATTTATGTTTTTGAATTTCGTAAGAAAATGGACGTAATTTGATATTTGAGACTTTATTAAGTATCAATAGTAACAAAGCACGAAGATTATTGCGATTTATTGGATGGTATGCGCGCTACAATGTTCCATTCATTCATCAAATGAAAACAGGATGACTAATCGATTCTTGAGATTTAAGAATCGATATCGGTTCATCAATATCGAGAAATTGATATTTTGTACCCAGCCCTACTGTATATAACATGTTATTCACTCATTTGCATACTGCATTAAACTGTGATGACAGATAACTATTGCATCATGCTGTGGCCATGGACTGTAGAGGTAGAAAAAATAAAATAAAAAATGGAGCAAGATGTCTAAAAGGTTCATTTGTGACCTCCTGACCCTCATTTGAAAGAAGTCACACAAGACACACAAAGTGTGGCCAACAGCAAATTGAGGTTAATTCACATAAAAGATATTACCTGCCACTTTAATTACTCAAATTCCCTTAGCTTTCTGCTCCATTAGGATTATTTAATTAGGAGGGACGCCATGGAGCGGAGATGATGTAAAAGTTAGGTTTAAAAACACATTACTGCCAAATGAATGAATCAGTCATCATAATTCTGGAAGGAGCTTATTCATAATAGCCATTTGGCATAGCTGTAATAGTGCCATGTTTTATTGCCTCAAATCCCAAGACTATACTTTGTATCTTTTAACATTTCACGTCCATTCAAATTAAAGTGCGTAATTTCTGAGCCACTTACACCTGCAAAAATAAGGATTGTTTCCAAGCATGTTTCCTGAATCTGCCATTGGTCAGTTAAAAAGACTGGCTGAGCCGATTCTGTTGTTTCGGGTTTGTTGGGATGCTCAAACAGTGCAGTGATTTAAAAGATCCACAGAGACACACTCGTAAGGAAAATCAACCTATGAACATCTTATACTTATAGTTAACTCTGCTTAACTCTATAAGGCCTCCTGTATCATATTTGATACGCACATTTCTAAGGCCTCTAAATGATCAACACGATCAAAACGTTGCTGAAAAACCTGTTGCACACAATCTATTACATGCTTTCTGTCATCTGATTGATAGTTTATACTTTTTAGCAAGTAAAAGATCTTTTAGTATCATTCTGTAAACGTCCCCCTTCAGGTCGTGGGTCACATATCTTTTTGCTGCAAATCCTTCATTGATATTGATATGCATCTTATGTAAGTACTCTGTTATACTGTTATAAAGATCGTATTGATTTATATTACATTATATCATATTATATTAATCTTACTTGGCCATATAAATATTAACAACTGTGCCAAATTGCATATTTTTGCTCAGTTTGGGTCTAAAATTGTTTAATTCCTCCTCGAGTATATAATACTCAACAAAAAGCATTATTATATATTCTATAAAGCATCTAAAATATTATTTTGGTAACACTTTACAATAAGGTTCATTAGTTAACATTAGTTAATGTATATTAACTAATATGAACTAACCATGAGCAATACATTTATTACAGTATTTATTCATTTTTTAATGTTAGTTAATAAATATCCAACTGTTAATTTCTTTGTTCATGTTAGTTCACAGTGCATTAACTAATGTTAACAAATACAACTTTTGATTTTAATAATGTATTAGTAAATGTTGAAATTAATATTAACAAAGATTAATAAATGCTGTAGAAATAGTGTTCATTCTTAATTCTTGTTAACTTAGGGAGTTAACTAATCTTAACTGATTAACTTTATCATAAAGTTGTACCATTATTTCATATGTCAGGCTTTACTTGGTTGGGCTTGGGATTGAAGAAAGTTAAAAAGGAACATACATCATCTTTAAGAAAAAATATGTACACTGTTAAAACTATTTATATTTCTAGGTTCATCAAACATGGTGACGGGAGAGACAAAAAGTTTCTTCAGTTTTGCTAAATCTGTGAGTGGAGTTTGATATCTATTTTCCATAATATGTGTTGGTCCAAAGATGTTTGGTGCTCAGTCATTGCTCTTTGTCTCCCAGTGGTGGCAGGTTGAGAAGGTGAACCCTATCAAACTCTATGAGGAGAATAAAGTCATTGCTGGCTTCTCGCTCCTTAACCTCCTCTTCAAGCAGGGCGGATGCAGGCGAGTCAAGACAGCGGTGCAAAAACTTCTGTCCCTCTACGACCAAAAGAAGATCAAGCCTCTTGTAGACTCCTTGTGGGCCCTTGAAGAGGTAAGAGACAGCGTTTTCATCATAAGCAATCAATTCTTCTAACAAATCGTACTCGTCTCTACGTGCATATTTTACTTTAAGAACTAAAACCCACCTTGTTACTCATTCATATGCGAAGAAGTTAGCCAATTAACAGAGGGTATATAAAAGTATTCGTAGAGGTTTCGTAAAGGCTTGAGAGCCAGTCAGAGCAAAGTCTGCAAAGCGTCACGAGAGACGGCATTAAATCACCCCATGTCTTAAAGCACATAACATTACAATAATAATGAACATGCACAACTTCTTTACGGTTATTGTTAGAACTCAAAGCGGTTTTGTAAAGGTGCGTTCACACCATGTTGGAATTACCGTAATTACAAGAAAGTCGTTTAACTTGGAAATTACAACTTGTAAACTCAGAATTTTCTGAGAGCTCTGAGTTGTAACACTGACTGCTGCAGATTAATTTTGCCGTTGATAGTGTTGCCATAGAAAGGCCATAAATAGGCATAACAGCTCATTGTAGAACGTCACGGGTTGCCATCTCATAATTACGGTAATTACGACGTGGCATGAACGCAGCACAAGCTCTCTGTTTTGGTTCAAGAGGAACTGTAAAAGGCGGCTGGTGTTTGTCTGCGGCGCTCTGTGACTCTAGCAATGTGTTTACAACTCTGCAAAGCCTCATGAACGCACGGATGATGTGTGATGGGCGGAGTTATGCAAATACATAAGTTGACAGGCAGGTAGGACATCCTACTTATTCAGACTGAATGCAATGATTGGACAAAATTTTTTTGGTCCTGAGACTTCCACAGAAGACATACATTTTTATAATTTTTAGAGCACTCTATTATTGATTGCTATAAGAACGTGAAGAAAGTTTCGACCAGGATAACAAAAAGTGTTTATGAAAAACATTGCCTACCCGATCTTTAAAGAAACAGTAGCTTATTAAAAAAGTTTCAGAGAGAGTGAAAAATGTAAATGTAAATCAAAGTTTTGGCTGTTTTGAGTGTGCAAAAACCTTTACTAAAATAATAAGTGGACCTTAGGGGATGATAAATGTTGAAAAAAATGATGAGATGATATCTATGAAATCAAAACATCAATAAATATCACCTTAAAATGAATGTGAGTTGTCACATTCACAACCCATTTTACATGTTATCTAATGCATTTCCTCCTCGTAATCCCTGAAAATCAAATTCCCTGAAGCCCTTTGAAAGCTTGGCTGTGGAGATGTTTTAAAAAAAGAAGACTCAGGCCAACCTCCAATTCTGCATGTGATCAGCTGCTGTGTCTGACCATCAGATGACGGGTGGGCTGTCCGGCTCTGGTACATCTCTCTGCTTTGATTCCCACACAGCCAGACACCCTCCCTCTGTGAAACCCAGCAGAGCAGCACAGTCTGTGGCCAAACCTGCCCGTGTTTTACCAAGCTGTGTGTGATGCACTTTGCTGAAGTCTCTTTTGAAGTATGGCATTGTTGAAACTGGAAATGGTGGATAACTGCGCTTTCCTGTGTGTGTGGAGGCACACTTTACTTCTTTGATTATGCAGCTTTAATTTACTTTTCTTTAAGGCTAATTCACACTGAACCGACAGATGCCGACCAACGACAACAGACACTTTGTTGGGTTTTATATGCTAAACTATACTGTACTATGCTATTTTTTGGTTTAAGGAACATACATGGCTGCCAAAAGTAACTGTACCAGTGTTGCCATTTTTTGGCCTTATTTCCTGAATGTTATTAATATTTTGGCCATGCTGGTGATTTGGCTCGAATCAAAACTGGCAAATTTCCCCTTCTATTGGTTAAACAGTTATTTTGTCATGTACTGCTGTCATAATTTTTATTATTTTCATCCCAGATTTCTCCCTTCCATTAAATATACATTTAATGCATTATATTGAATAAAAGGCTCTAAAGACTTGTACATTGTTACAAAAAATGGTAACACTTTATTTTATAGTGTCTTTGTTACATTACATGTTGTAGTAATAACTATAAATTATGTATAATTACATGCAACTAACCCTAAACCAAACTTACTTATAGTAAGCACATGCTGTTAAATAATATTACGCAATACTTAAATGTATAATTCAACTCAACAAGGACACCTTAAAATACGTGTAACCCCCAAAAAAGGATATTTCAAGTAAATGCTGCTCTTTTGAACTTTGTATTCATCAAATAATTCTGGAAATGTATCATGGTTTCCACAAAGATATGAAGCAGCACAACTGTTTTAAACATTGATAATAAGCAGAAATGTTTCGTCAGCTCTAAATCAGCCTATTAGAATGATTTCTGAAGGATCATGTGACACTGAAGACTGGAGTGATGATGCTGAAAATACAGCTTTGATCACGGGAATAAATGACATTTTAGAATATATTAAAATAGAAAACAATTATTAAATTCTAAAACTATTTCCCAATATTACTGTTTTTACTGTAGTATTTTTGATCAAATAAATGCAGACTTTTTGAGCATAAGAGACTTCTTTCAAAAACATTCAAACATTTTATTGAACCCAAACTTCTGAATAGTACTGTATATAAAATCAATGAAAATAAATATTTCTCCATAAACAAATCCATCCTCTCCTCAGCTTATTTTGATAATTCAAACCACTTATTCTGGTTGCTTGTTTTTTCTTGAAAATCTGGCAACATTCATCTGTAGCATTAATAGATTTACAATGAGTAAGTCTAGCTCAATATATCAAATTAAAGCCAAGAAGTAAGAGTGTTACTATTAACCCCGTGAAAACAAATTAAATATATTTAATAAACCAGTGTATCTTACATATAAGCACACATTAAAGTTATATCACTGCTTTAATATTCAGCTTGTTAGTATTGTATTATAGTTTATCCTTTATACAGTATAGGATTATATGCATATGGAATATACATATATATGGTATATATATATGGAATATATATATATATTCCATATATATATTCCATTATATATATATATTCCATATATATATATGGAATATATATATATATATATATATTTTTTTTTTTTAACAAAAATATGTGAATCAGCTGACCAGATATTTAATGAAATAGTATTCATTACATGTATAAATAAATGGATTTCACAGTCCATATGAAATCCTGAATTGCAGCTTCCAGCGTCAGCATTAACAGGGTCCAATATTAACACTCAGCAAATTGTTGACTGCAAGAAAAAAATAGGTTTTGGTGAGTAAATCAAATCAAGTCCTTTTCCACAGAGAATTAAAGTCTCCCTGGCTTTGGAAGGAGTTTGATTCACTCACGTCACTTAAATAAAAACAGCAAGGATTAGACTTTCGTTTGAATAATTATTGCATTTTCTCAATACATCTGCGAGAGTTAGCATCTGTCATTCATGTTAACATAGTACATGACGATATGCAAAGATAAAATAGATTTCAAATCAGAGGAAACAATACTTTAGACCGCAGAAGAATAATACTGGACATCCAGCAAAAATAATTTGGTCCCACTTTATATTTGGTGTCTTTAACATACTATGTACTTTTATTAATTGCAATGTAATTATTGTATTGATGTTGTATTGCAAAACACTTGTGCTGCTATTAAGGTGTAATTAAAGATATTAATTACAGAGTAATTGCATGCAGGTATTTTTTTAAATATAAGTACTATATAAAAACATGTATGAACACGATAAGTGCATTGTAGGCCTATTAAAGGAATGATTTAAATGTAAGTACATAAAAACACTAAATATGAAGTGAGTCCAATGATTTTTAACCTTTCAAAATATTTTTTTTTTTGGCAATGTCTCAGTTCAAAAGTGAATTTTTTTAGGTGAAGCCTATACTATACTATACTGTACTATACTATAATATGCTGTGCTATTCTATGCTATGCTATATTCCATACGATGCTATGTTAAACTATACTATAATATAATATGCTATAATATTCTATACTATAATATGCTATAATATTCTATAGTAAATTTTACTATACGCTATACTATGCTATGCTATACTATACTATGCTATGTTATACTATACTATAATATGCTATGATATTCTATACTATATTTTACTATACTATACTAAACTATACTATTCTATACTATGCTATGCTATATTCTATATTATACTATAATATGCTATACTATACTATAATATGCTATAATATTCTATACTATAATATGCTATGCTATGCTATAAAATTTCTATACTATATTTTACTATACTATATTATATTTTACTATAATATACTATACTATACTATACTATACTATACTATACTATACTGAAGTTCCAGTCCTTAAATTTGATTGGTGAGTTCCAAGCATGCTGATATAGATCATAGCAGTTAAATATCCGTCACCTCGCTTTTTTGACTGAAATGTATTTATATTTACATATGTATTTAATTACATAGATTATAATTTGTAGTTTATACAATAGTTGTGTAAAATTAATAAATAGCACACTCTTAGTAGAATTGTACTATCAAATTATATTCCTTCTGTTTTGTGCCTATGGCAGAATAACAGCCATGCTCATATTCTGACAACCATATGCTCTTGTGAAAATGTGTCATTTAATACTCTGTAAGCTTTGATAGCTGTCATCCGCATGACTCTCTAGATTCTGCGTTTCACTCTCTCACTGAACGCTCTCACACACTTCCCTGCAGCTGGTTGAGTGCGGTGTTTATATCACACACTGATTGATTGCATCATCTGAGAGTATGTGTCAGACTCTTGAATTTGTGGATATTACAGCAGTTGGTGTCTTTTTGTGTGTATAATCAAATTCAATTTTCGTTTCTTCATACCTGGCTTTTGGGAGAGATTTGCTGGTTGTCAGCACACCCGAATGCATCATTGGCAGATGTTTAAGTGCAGTGCAGGAGGCAGCAACAGGACTGCTCAGGGGAGATGGAGGCAGGCTTTAAAATAACCCTGATTTTAACGGGAAAAGATTAAAAAATGCGCCTGTAAAAACCTGAGAGTGAGTGGGAAA